TGGTACAAAGTTGTCACCAAGCGCAGTGGTCACAAGCTTCCGCGCGTTGAGCTGGAGGAGATTGGCCCCAAGTTCGATTTCAAGATTGGTCGTATGCGTCCTGCGTCGCCGGAGGCCATGAAGGAGGCCATGAAGCAGGGCAAGCGCCCCAACGTTGAGATCAAGATGAAGAAGAACATCAGCATGGGTGACGTGGGTGACAAGCTCGGCCGTGTTCACCTTGGGAAGCAGGATCTCAAGGGCATGCAGACCCGTAAGATGAAGGGTCTGAAGCGTCGGGCTGGTGGAGAGTCTGACGAGGAGCCTGATGTCAATGACATGGAGGTTGATGAGATTTCCGAGGACGAGGACGAGGAGAGCCACAAGAAGGCTCGCAAGAACTAAATGATTGAGCTACTTGCATAGTTGCGTCTTATTATATTGTTTGGGCGTTTGGGCCGGTTGGGTTTTGTGCTTGATGCCTGTACTAGAGTTGATATGCCGGCATGGAATAAAAGTTGCATCTACATAGTGCTCTGAATGACAAGATCTTTCCACCTAGTCTACTTCCCAATATAGATCTACATTACATGTCTTCAGACATATAGTTAAAAAGTCGAAGCTATTACGAGGATTGTATAGCACCACGTGACCATGACGTCGGCCGTCGGCATCATCTCACATGCCGAGGCCCTTCTCAAATGCTGAACCGACGTAAAGTGCCGTCCCTTCTTACTCTACTCTTCTCTATTCTTCATGAAATCCTGCCTTTTATTTCTTCCGCCTACAACCTAGTAGCTCATCTACAACCCCGACCTCTATTCTAGGTCCCGCGCCACCATGGATGCACTCCTGGTTCGTACATCCGATCCGTATTCCGCGGCTAAGCACATGAAAGACATCGCACTAACAACCCCTCCAGTCTCGCCTCGAGCAACTCATCCTCCAACCCGACCTCGCACCATTCCTATCCTTAGTCAAAGGCGCGCGCAATGGAATTGTCTACGGATCGAAAGTGCGGTTTCCGCATGCGCTGGTGTACGTCGGACCTTGGATGGAACATACTGATACAAAGCTGACATGTTGATTGTAGCATGATAATGCTCTTCCGATCGGGATCGTAAGTCTACACATCTTCCTACAAAAGTTGTCTCCGGGTCTCAGACTAATAAAACGCAACGTATAGATTCCGTGACAAGATCAAGCTCGTCCTGAAAGCAACGCGCCAGCACGCTCGAAACCTCTCCACATTCGCGGTGATCTATAAATTATCCATGATTCTTCTAAGGAATATCAACCCCCGCGGTGCCGGGAAGGAAGGCCGGTACGACAGCTTCTTCGCAGGCTTGTTGGGCGGGTATGCTGTTTTCGGCAGACAGCCTGGAAGCATTAGCCAGCAGGTACGAATACCCTATTCTTGATGAATATGCGAGGCAGAACTATAAACTCGACACCATCCCACTAAATTATCACTACTAACAAAACCAGATCGTCATCTACGTCTTCGCGCGCGTGATGCTCTCTCTCGCCAAACTCGCCATGCAACCCAACATGCACCCTCTCTCCTCCCTCATCACCCCCGAAGCCCGCACCACAATCACCGACAACGCATATCCCGTCTTCGCCAGCATGACCTGGGCCTTCGTCATGTACATTTTCCGCTGGTACCCAGATACCCTTGTCTCGAGTCTGCGAAGCAGTATGCAATACATGTATGTCTCTCCCATCATCGCGATATACTTTAACGAGTTGATACTAACAAAAAATAGCTATGCGGACTCGGATCATTGGGATTCACTTCGGACACTCTTCATACATAACAAATGAGTGGGCTCTATATGTTGATCAGGGATCATGCCTACTCCACTTTTTCCATTGTTCATTTCCCTTCCAACTGGTTTTGGATGTTGGCGCATAGATTGGGGTTTCTTTTTTTTTTTTTCATTTCATCCTATCGGGTTGAGAGCATTGCCGCTTCTATATGACGTGTACAGAGTATACCCAACGCGGCCGTGTTCGAGATATTCCTACCCTGTATTATGAGTTATGGCCCGGTTATCTTTCTTTTCCTACAATGTTTACAGTTTTGGTACAAGTAGTTTGATTTGGGTTATACAGCAGTAGCCAGATATCAGAAACATTGAATCAGATGCGTCCCATTGAAGAACCAGTAATGTAATACACGAGACCCATCTAATGAAACAGATGGGCTCCAGAAATAAAAAGAAAGGAAAAATCAAGACATTAAGCAGTAAGATCTACTGCTGGGTATCCGCTCCATCAACCTCAATCAAAAGCTTCACCTCCCCGTCCATCCAATCCACCGTATCCGCAGACAAAAGCGCCAATGCCCAGTCCTTTTCACTCTGGATAGGGAACAAGCCGTCGGGAAGCCAAGCTTTGACTTTCCAGCTATCCCTCGATATATCTTCTTCCAGGCCTGGGTATTGGCGGAGAATCAATTGTTTGACGGTCTCGACGTTGAGACATGGAGTTACTTGGATGTCTAGACGGGGAAAGATACGTTTGCCGTGTGAGAGGATGTTGATGCGGAGGTATGCTTGAGAGTTTGTGCTTGTTGCGGGTGAGGCGTCGCTGTTTGAGGGGGCGGGTGTAAATGGTTGTTGATGGAATTGTTGCTCTGCTTGTGGTGGAGGGACGCCTTGTCTGGAGGCGATGTTCTCGCGGATAATTCGCGAGACGTCGCGGGTGATGCTACTTGCGCTGTTCGGGAGTTAGTAAAAGTAAACGCTTGTTTTATGGAGCGGGGGTAAGGGAAGAACGTACAAATCGTCTCGTGCTGTGGTGTTTCGGCCACCGCTAATACGCCAGGGGAGACTTGAGACCGAGTCAGCGTGGATGATACGATTGACGTTGTGGTTCTCGCAACCGGGCTGACAGTCGGATGTGCCGTTGTGTAAAACTTGGTAATGGCTATCAACGGCCGCGACCAGACCGCGCCAGTCGGGCTGCTGGAGACCAGAAAGGGACCACAGGTTGTCTAGTTGGAAGTCGTGATTGTATTCGTCGTAACATCTGGAAAGCTCACTCCAGTCCGGCTGGTATCCGTCCAATAGGAGATCCGTAAGACCGACTTCCATTGCCTGGTTGGGATCCATTGGCGCCTGCGCCTGAGGTGCTGGAGGAGGCGGCATTGACTGCCTGTGTTCCTCTCGCTGAACCGGGTCGTGCATCTGAAGCTGTTGATCGGGAGAGAAGTGCGAGCTCTTGAGATCTGGGAAGCTATCGTCTGTCTTTCGGCGACGACGCTCATCTGTGCCGCCTCCTTTGCGAGTTTCAATTGCATACTGGCGTTGTCGTTCATTGGTGACCATTCGTCGGAGGAGAGGAATGACCAACGAGATGATCTTTTGTTGATCCCGGGGCCAGATGTATGTCCGAGGACCCATGCCCTCGTTGACCACGTCCTCTCCAAAGAATCGCTCACCATTGCCCTCAGCTTCGAGGAAATTGCGAACGCAATTCCATAAACGTAGCTTGACCATCTCTGTATCTCCCTTGCCACGCTGACCGACGCATTCCCTTCTTTCAGGGTGATCGTCGTCCAGCATATACCCCTTAGCCGCAGCTTGGAGGTGAAGGAAATTCTCAGGCGACAACTCAAGTGATGAAAACAGCTTAGACATCGGAGGCCGAGTGTACTTCTTGTTGCTAGAAGGTTGACGGAACAGTGCCGCAGCAGAATGAACGCCAACCGCACGCGCCTCCGACAGAGACGACGGAGGCGCAGAACGAATATCCATGTTATCGCCAGAAAATCCATGATTGTTTTGTTGGGACTGTGAATGCTGCTGCGACCCGAGACCAGCTCCAGCCAGGGCAGGATCAAGATTGTCGTCGTTTCTCTTTCGTTTCTTCGACACTGTACGAGACAGACCTGAGGAGCCGGAGTGATCATTCAGATGTCTTAGATGTCTTCCGCTTGCCATGCTTGTGACGAAGCTGGCATCGCCGAACCCGTCGTCTCCGAGTTGCATGTCCGCACCATAGCCATCCAGTTGATGGTGAGCAGCGGCAGCAGTGGCTTCTACTGCCCATTGAGAGACGTTATGATCTTGGCCAGCGGCTGCGGTTGCCGCTTCTACTAAGCCCGCGAGCTGGCTATCATTCGGCACGTATCCGTTGTTCGGGTCGAGATGGGCATTTGAGACGCCTTGGTCGCCAGAGGCCGAAGTCTGGTGGTTATTGGAATTTGAGGCCATGGTGAAATATCACTTTGGAGCGCGGCGCGATGTGATGTCTGATATGGTGCCACCGGTGTTGTCGTAAGCTGCAAAGGAAACGGTTGATATCGGGCGCGGTTGGGAATACCAGATCAAATATATTTTGACGGACGCGGAATATCCGTTTCTGAAGATTTGGTTCTCCTGAGGAACAAATCTACCTCCGAATGTAGCGGCCAGCGTCGGAGGTCAAGGTTGTTACTTTTCAAGGATGAATGACGCGCGCGTGAGAATTCGGGGGTTGGAGGGGTACCGGAGACCTCACAACGCCACACCCCTGGAGGGGTGAAGAGCGTGCTGAAAATTGGACGAAATCGAAGCTGATCGGACTTTTTGAGGGAGCTCTTTAGCTCGGAGCTGATAAGGCAACGCGACGAAGATGATGTTTGCGCGGTTTGAAGGAGGAGCAGACAGTGCAAACCTTGCGTCGGATCACGTGAGCCCCACGGATGCAGTCACGTCGTACTCAACACGTCAATACTTCCTTGAATGATGTCCTCGGCAGGGATTGTTTCGAGCTAGACAAATACAAAGAGTTCATCTTATTCTATCTTATTCTATCCACTCATTTGAGCAGCTCTTAAAAACACATAGCAGATGGTGGTATAATATACATCAAAGGGAAAACGAGATGTAGAAAGTGTCCCAAATCCGTCCCAAAGAGAGGATGCGCGCCCTTGATTAATTTGATGTCCAGTGGCACACGGGAACGAGTGTATGCAAGATCAAATCCGACGCCAATATATGGTTAAATAGCACATAATAAGTCAAGTCGGCCTAAAAGCCATCACCGGCATTCCAAGGGCGGCCAGCTTCCAAGGCTCGGTTTTTGGGATTCTTCCCTCGATCGATAGCCTCAACGAGCATCTGTGAGAGTTGGGTGTCCTTTTCCATCACCGCATCCTGGAGTTTGCCCTTGCGACCAGGCGGAGGGACTTCTAAATTCTGAGTTTCATCAAGTTCGCCGCTGGCCTCAGCAAATGAGATGTCTTCTTCCCAAAAGATCCAATCTTCGAGCTCTTTCTGCATATCTTTCTTCTCCTCATCCAACGCTCTCCAGTTCTGTAGCTCTGCCGGGCCACCGAAGCAGAATCCGTAGCCGTCACAGAGACAAACACTCTCTTCCACACAGACCACGGGCTGACCGGTGAACACGTACTGCCAGAGATATTCCCAGATACGACCGGCGATATAATCGCTGAGATCCGTCTGCAGGAGCCAGTCGCGATAAAAGATGAATCGAGAACGCGGAATTGTTCGAATGCGATCCCTAGATACGGCGAACTGCGCACAGCACGGCTGGGCCAGAACCGACGGGACCGGCTCGTCGGGGAACAGTTCGCCCCAGGCGCGGGCCAACATGACTTCCTCCTGCTTGGACTCATCCTCTATAACAGCACCGGGATGCATCCAATCGGGACAGCCGGGACCGTGAGTGCAGCGGGTGTTCATATATCCTTCTCTGATGACCCGGTCCAGGCTGAGACGGCGAAGAATCTCCGCAGTGTCTCCGTTAAAGATTTCTTCATTGTGCCAGGCTTCTTGGTGCGAGTGTATGAACACCGCGACGTCGGGTAGTTCGTCGTAGAAGTCGATACAGTAGGAAAGGTAGATCATGACCTCGTGGCCCTTGTTCTTCGGAGGGTGTAGAGGCGCCCTTGAATCGTCGGCGACGTATATAGCGGTCTGCCACCCCGGCAACTCCTTCTCAATCCAACTCACATCCTCCTTTTTCGTCCGTGGGACCACCAACATCTTCGTATATTCCGAACCTAAAGGTTTGGGAATACCAGGAACAAAGTTCGGCTGGGGAGCGTAAAGAGTTTTCTCGTCATAGGAGCTGTGGTTGAACGTCCCCGTCCAGCTAGTATTGGTATTGGAAAATGGGTACGCGGCATAGTATTCGCCCAGTCCCACGACTTGTGAAACATTACGCCATGATTGCGAGAGGCTTCGGGCTGTGAGATAGAAGCCGAGGAAGAAGCAGAAGCCAAGGAAGAGGACCGATCGCCGTGAGAGAATCATGGAAGAGGCCAGGTGGTACAATTATATGCGGAGAATTGATCTGTCGCACCGGAATAATGTTAGCCGTGGGGGGGTTTTCCCGAATCGAGATTGGTGTCGCAGCGCGCGAGATGAGACAGCGAGGGATTGGACTTTCCATTCAATCAATGGACGGTGAGGTGAGGTGAGGTGTCAGGACGTACTCGTTCAAGGGGCGCTCATGGCAGGGCATCGGAGAGAAGACTCGGGCTAAGGAAGAAGGAATGTGATCGGGAAAGGAGTGACGGGGGAAGAAAGCGAGAGAGGAGCCAAATGTATCGCGGGGGGCCCGGCAAATTGACGGTTGAAACATGGACCCAGGTGGATCTGAAATGCGCACCGCCCGATGACGACAACTGTTGGTCAATGTAACGCGTCTAGACCTTTACATCGGTTCTGGAAACTATCGTATCGACGGATGCTCGCTGTCACTCTAGCCTCACTTTCACTTTCAACGGAGGACAGACCGGGATCGTCTCCCTGCAGTGTTGGGACAATGTATCTGGCAGTCGCGAAAAGGAAATGGATTGGACGCGCGAGGAGATCTTCGCCCCCTGAAATTCTCCACTTATGGAGATCTCAGTGGCTGTGACATGGCCTGGTCCCTCCACTTCGGTCGAGGCTTGGCCTTCTTGATTCTAAAACGAGATGGTTCATTTCTTTAGAGATTTTTATATTTTGTTCTTGATCGCTTTGATGGATAAGAAGAACTGGGGTTGATTCTGCTTCACGTACCCTATACAGGAATGCTTGGTAACGAACGTTTCGGATGCTCTAGTGTATCTCATCTGGATTACCTGCGACTGCTAATTATTCTTCTATCCCATCTTTGAAGCCCATTTTGTGTATATGTCACCTAAGTTTCACTTAGAACTTCACAAACAATACTTTGAGGCATCTTTCTTAATCTTATGAAGCCGGCAAGGCCGAGAGTGCACGGGGTTCTTCTGTTAAACAGTATTTTGTTTGAGAGGCATATACGTGTATTCTAAGTATCGGAATCATCGGATTCTTTCCAAAGTTGATGTTGCAATACGAACTTCGTCTTGAAGAGCTATGGGACATGCGAAGGATACTATTGTAGAACAACATAGCATATGTTGATGATGTATTCTCCGCATAAGGAGTCTATCAGGACCAAAGCACTTGATCAACGAGATCCATGGGTATAGAAGATCCTATGCCAAAGGCTTACAAGATTGAAAATTGCAAATCCAACCATAAAAACGTGGACCAAGTCTGGGCGGAATAAGATTCAAGCGTTGAAAACTCTTGGATCACACTAGGCACATGGCTATTGATATGGCATACTGTGTCGAATTTCGTAGAAGACAAGGATATCCTGGTCTTTCTGTGTGAATAATTTCCGTGAAATTATACGGTAGACCATGGACTGCATGATGCATTCTTCGGGGAGTTATATCAACGCTTGATGGTTCGAGACCTACATTCACGCATACATTGACTTGTAATAACGAGTGGGCCCGGTAGCTTGAAGAAATATTTCAATGTGATTTTTGAAGCTAACATGTCACCGAAATAATAAATCACATCGTACCATTGTACTGTACACATCAGAAAAATAAAAGAGGCGGTGGCGCCTATCAGACAACCAGGATTTGTTATCTCACGTGATAGCGCGAAAACTGCGGCGCCAGACATCCCAAACTGGAAATTTCCTGAGATCCTAACCTGTCCTCTTTCCAGCATGTGCTGTCACGATGCAGCAAAGCCCCAAAGTCCACGGTCAGCCCGCTGATGAGACCCGGTCCGCCCGGGTCCCATCAACCCAGAAAAAGTCCCACGACCCATTGGTGCACCTGCTCGCCGGCGCGTAAGTTTTTCATATCGCCGCCGTCATCAATCCGACTAACAAATCTCCAGGAGTGGCGGCTTCGCAACAGCAATCGTCACATCACCCCTCGATGTCCTCCGAACACGTCTCCAATCGGATTTCTACCAACGTCCTTCCCAATCCTCCTCCGAAGCACCTCTCCACGCAAGTCACAAAACCACCCGAATAATCAGCAGCATCTACCGCGCCGAAGGATGGAAAGCATTCTTCCGCGGCCTAGGCCCGAGTCTCGCAGGCGTGGTTCCCGCAACAGCGATTAAATTCTACGTCTACGGAAACTGCAAGCGCATCGGCGCCCAAATGACAGGATATGGCGAAGACTCCACCCTCATCCACGCGCAAGCCGCTATCTCTGCCGGAATCGCCACAGCCACAGCGACGAATCCGATCTGGCTCGTCAAGACACGGCTGCAACTGGATAAAAATCTAGCTACCGGAGGTCGCCGCTACAAGAACAGTCTCGACTGCTTGCAGCAGGTCCTACGCCAGGAAGGCATTCGAGGATTATACAAGGGTCTCAGTGCAAGTTATCTCGGTTCAGTGGAGACTGCACTCCATCTGGTCCTGTACGAGCGTCTAAAGACAATGCTGAACAAATCCCTCGGATCACCGGATGGAAAGGACACGGCTACGCAGCGGGAGATCACAAGCTGGATCAGCACGACTGGAGCGGCGGGTTCTGCCAAGTTTGCTGCTGCGCTACTTGCTTATCCTCACGAGGTACGAGACTCGAAATATGTATCAAATAAACAATCATTTGCTAAAATGCTTTAATCCAGGTCATTCGAACTCGTCTCCGCCAAGCACCCCTTGAAAACGGAAAACCGAAATACACCGGCCTGGTGCAGTGCTTCCGTCTCATCGCCAAGGAAGAGGGAATGGCTGGACTGTATGGAGGTCTGATGCCTCACATGGTGCGATCCATTCCGTCGGCTATCATCACGCTGGGCGTATATGAGTTCGTCTTGCGGTTTGTGGGCGCGTCATAAAATGCCGGCACAATTGTACATTATCATCAAAAAAGGCGGCCTTGTATTGCTAGAGGGGCTGTGACTTAATTGCATGTATTCTATCTGGAGTTTGGGTTGGGTCTTGGAGCTGTGAATAGAATCTCCTATCCGGGAATGTACCATATTATCATTATCTTGATTGAAGAGGTTCAGAAGATGTACAGTAGCTATATCTAAGGTTTAACCTTGAATATTGAACATTTACCATTTTACAGGACAATGAAAATCCCAAATATCCATGGATTCATTTGGAATTTGGACACGTGTGTAGAAAAGTAGAGACCGGGTATGATATTTTGCTCAAAGAAACGCCATGCAACGCTGATCCAATAGTATGTAGGAAATGCGATCAGGGAGCCAAGGGAAAAGTACAAAGGGTAGGGGGACTAGAATATCGAGGGGCAGCGTCAAGACGCCTCTTCCTCGGCCTCTTCCACGGTAGGAGCGCGAGCCTTGCCTTTTGAAAGGTCCTCGGTTTGTTCACTTTCAGTGGAAGGTTCTTTGGCTTGGCCATTGCTGCCCCATGCTGGAATTGCAGATGGTCCCGCTTCGGATTGTACGTCAGTCCATTCTTGGGATGGGGACTCTGGTCTGTGCTCTGTTGGAGATGCAGCGAGTGTTGACCAATCGAACACGGTTTGGAGAGGTGTGGCTGGTGCAGTGGTGTTTGAAGCTGTAGCGGTTGGAGCGGAGGCAATGCTTTCGGTAGCATTTTGGACAGGGGTCTCGGAGGTCACTGGGGCTTGAGCTGAGGTATCATTTGAGGGAGGGCTTGCCAGCGAGGCTCCTGAAGCTGTAGGCGTGTCGTTGACGCCTTGCTCTGCGTTACCGTTACCCCACGCCGAAGGGCTGAGAGGCATTAGAGTCCAGCCTGTTGGAAGGTTGAAGCCTTCTGGTAGACGGGGATCTCCAGGTCCTATAGCAGTCTCGCCTGGGGTCATGGCGTAGCGCTGGCCAGTCGAGGACGTGAAAGTTCCAGGCAGCGGTGAAGAGGCGACAGGTCTTGTAGGTTGGAGGAAGGGGTTGGCTTGCTGAAGACGAAGTCGATCTAGCTCCATTTGAAGGTGACGCACACGATGTAGTTGCTCCGTGGCGATCCGCAGAGAATTGATCTCATCCGTAATGCGCTGTTCAATCTGCTGCAATTGTGTATGGACATCGGTATAATTGGAGGGTACGGCAGTGGGAGGAACTTGGAACTGCTGAGCAGGCTGAGCAGGTACCGGTGGACGGCGTCCGAAACCGAAACCGAAACCAACCTGTTGCCCATTTGGCTGGTTGGCATTCATGGCAGGCTGTGGTGCATTGCCTTGGTGAATTTGCTGGTGCAGGTTATGGAACATGTCGCCCCGCACAGCCCCAAAGCCGATTCTGAAAGGGCCAAATTGATAGACGCGGGCTCTGGGAGCTCCATCACCTTGACCTGGCTGACCAGGGGCTTGGTCTCCAGGCTGTGCCCCACCAGGTCCGTTGTTACCATTGCGGCGAGCAGCTGCTTCCGCACCTACCACAGGACGTCGGCAGGTAGGGCAATTCTGCTGCCGCTCCAGCCAGCTGCGAAGACAGGCGAAATGCAGAATGTGGCCGCATGGAAGTTTCTTGGGGCGTAGGCGATCGGGAACACGTTGCGCATGTTGTGCACCAACAGCAGGCTGTTCGCCTTCAGCGGGAGCATCAGGAGCTGGCAAGATCGAGACCATCTCCTCGCGGCAAATGATACAGACTTCCTCTCTTGCCACTTCTTCGTGGGTCGCATCTGGATAACGCTCGTTCATGTCCCTGGTGGCGTTCCGGTATCGAACAAAGTCCATAATCCGCCGAACAAATGACCGAATGGTTACAACGACATCGCGGAGGATATGAATTGGCAAACCGTAGAATGTGAGCAGAATGGCGAAGAAACAAATGTAGACCACAAGTTTGACGAAATCCGTCAATAGGTCCAGGTAGAAGACCCAGCGACCCTTTTCTTCCCACCCAGGGACATCAATCTCCAGCTCGTTCACGTCGTTTTCGTCAGGCAAGTCGGCAGGAGGGAAGTAGCTCCCGCACGAGCGTGCTCCTGAATAGCCTCAACGCGAGCGGCCCGAATCTCAGCACGGCGTTCATTCATCTTTGCCTTCATCTGCTGGCGATTAATATAGATCTCCACCAGCGCGATACAATAGCGAGCAGCCGTCGAGGTTGAGAGGATAGTCAAAATCGCAAACTCAAAGCCAAACATAACCATCATATCCGGCTTAGCCTGGTGAATCACGGTATCGACGCAGTACCGCAGCATAAACGCATTGAAGAGAGTCGTAAGGAGCAGCGACAGCGCCAGGCGGGCATGGAACATTCGAGGGTTCGCAGGTGGTTGCTGCTCGAGAAACTCCACGCGCCCTTCACCAATCCAACCCCAGACCTTTCCAACCAATAGCGAGATAAACATGACCAAGAACCAACCGCCGAGAGAACCCCGGAAGATGGTCATAGCCAGACATGTCTCCGTAACAGCGAACCACGCCCGCTCATACAGTTGTTCGGTTTCGATCGGGCGCAGACGGCCATAAAGGAGTCGCTGAAGCCAGAAAAGGACGAAGCCGGTGATAAGGAGACACAAATTCGTAAGGATCTAGATGTCGCTCTAATAGTCAGCCACGGCCAAATAACGAGGAGCTAGACGCCATCAGGGCATACGCACCATGAGATTCGCACTACTCTGCGAAAGATATACACATGCCGCGTAGAAATTCGCTCTTTGATGGAGAGCTTTCAGGAACACGCCGGTGGCCAGGACCACGGAGGCCTTGGATCGAGTCAGTGGGGGGTTGGGGGTCCATGTGGTGGGAGTACTCACCCCAGTGTACGCGGCCAGTCTCATGGCAGATTGACTGAGACTCGCGGGCTGAATGTCATCAGAAGGGGAAGTGGGAAAGCGACCTCAGGACATTGGGAGACGTGGAGTATGTCTCGATCTGGACAGCTTTCCTGAATAGCGGCGCCTCCGCATCTTACGTCAGCGTTTTGATCCGCACGTGCTTTATGATGTGTTCACAGAGGACATGTCGAGTGAGCTACGTTGTTTTGAATTGATGGGTAGTTAATTACTTTAATTAACATATGATGAGTCTCATTGTTGAATTGTTGGGAGTATACTCGTGCTCTAGATTGACGATACCCAGGTGATTGATCAATTGATCCTATCTCCGCTGGAGTGGCGCCTTATCCGTCGAGTCGAGCCTTCACCGATCAGGAACACTAAAACCAGATATACACGACAGGTCAAAGATTCTCATCACTCTTAGTCGGCAAAAGAACTGGTTGTCCACACTGCTCTTGATATTTCTCCCACAATTCCTCGTCCACGATAAGTACGACTTCAAACTCCTGTAAAAATGTGTGATCAATAGATGCGATCACGGATTCAAGACCTACCGCATTCGGATCCTCGACCAGCTGTCGCATAGTTGCCAACAGGGGCCTCTTAAGCCCTTCTGTATCAGACGATACATGATAGAATTGCACATTGGCTATCTCAACAGGCCATTCGATGCCCTCCTTTACTTCCAGCTTCTGATCATCTGGGACTGGTTTGAGGGCGCAGATCATTATCGGTATACCAGATGGATTGGCCGATGTGCGCTCCCTCAGGACACTCATCTTAGCATTGGCAAATATTGTAGGATATAACCTACGGTGCCATTTGACGATATGCTCGAACTTGGGTCTCTTGGCCATGTCATAGATAATTATAGCGGCATCTCTATCTTTAAGATGCTTGACTCGGGTTGGGGTAGTGCGCGGTTTTCTGGGGATTTCTCATGTCTCGAAATTGCTGCGGTGGCCCTGATATTGTGTTTAGATAGGGAATGAGAGGATGAGAAGACTCAAAGTTCCCAACCTGTATACTAAAACCTCATTTAGTTATGTCATGGTGGACAGTGAGGGTGAAGTTACTCTCAAGTTCATCTTCATGATGTAAAGATGCGACGCTGCTCTACACATAATGTTAGTGTCTAAGTCAAATCCACCTATACGTTTAGCTCACCTTTTCTGTTAGTATATCCCCAATAAGTTACTATTCAAAACAACTTACTGCCAGTCATTGTTTCAAAGTCGAGTAGATGTGTTAAGAGAAAGTCTACGTTGAAGAATCTCGGTGATGGATATCCCGTCAGACTATACCAAGTGACGACTAGCGGGCTTGTGGCTGACGTATATCCAGCACAACTCTGGGAGCCAACCAATGTTCGACTGAAAATGTAGTGAAGTCGACACAATTCCAAAAATCCCGATCCAATACCCCATCAATTGATCTATCACGGCCAAACAAACGCCGAACGTGGAGCAAACTTGTTTATCTGATCGCACGTGACACCCCGCCCCATCGGTGACACAACCAGCTGGAACGCGCCGATCCCGATCCATCCACATCTCAACTTGAGCAATGCCCCATCACCGGAGATGGCATCATCGGCATTGTTTTCGGCCTCAAGGCGACAGACACTGACCTATCTATTGGCAGTGTGTCCCTTCTCTATCGCGTTCCTAGTATTCATCAATTCTTCCGTCTCCTTCGTGGTCACCGATCTCATTGGACTGCATGAAGGCGAGGGCGATGCCGTTGGGACACTGGGGTTCGCGGATGAGTTGCTAGCACTAGCAGCGTGTCCGCTGTGGGGTGTTCTTTCGGATCGTATAGGTGTGCGACTCGTATGTTGGTCCTGGCCCTATACTGGTTGACGGCAACTGACGTCAATAGGTGTGTACGCTGGGTTATGCAATTATTGCGGTTGCGTTGGTTGTATTCGTGCAGGCCACGAATGTATACCCGCAGCTTCTTCTGGGCCGGCTACTTTTCAGTGTTGGTGGGTCGGCTGTCTCGACTATGGTTACCGCGGTCTTGCCTACGGTGACGGGCAAGGCGTTCAGAAGGCAGGCGTATCGGGCTTCTGTTTCTTCGGAGCTCACTATCACTCCGGATCGAGCTCAGCGTCATCTAGCGAGCCAGGGAGATTCCAATTCCGAGGTATCGCCATCTGCCCGGCTTTCTGGGTTCGTTGGGTTGTTCGCTGGATGTGGTGCTCTGATCTCGCTGGGCGTGTTTCTTCCACTTCCAGCCCGGTTCGAGAAAATGGGCCTCACGCCGGTTGAAGCTTTGCAGCGCAGCTACTACCTGGTAGCTGTGGTGGCTGTGATCATCAGCTTGGTCAGCTTTATCGGTCTTCGTGATCTTCCTGGGGAGAAGGAGAAAGGGTGGAGTGCCCTGTGGAAGACAGATTCTTCGTATGAATCGGATGAACAAGATAGAGAGGAAGCTCATCCGGCAAGATTGCCGTACTGGAAACAGTTGACCACCGCGATGCTTCTGGGCTTCCGCAATCGCAGCATCGGACTGGGGTATGTCGGAGGATTTGTCGCTCGGGCGTCCTCGGTCGGTATCTCATTGTTCATTCCTCTGGCCGTTAACCATTACTACCGCGAATCGGGTCTATGTCACGAGAACTATGAACCGATACCAGGCTCCGGTCTGGGTGATATCAAGAAATCGTGTCCGCGCGCGTACATCGTGGCATCGATTCTGACCGGGGTATCTCAGCTGGTTGCGCTAATTGCAGCGCCAGCGTTTGGCTACCTCACAGACAAGTCTCGCCGATACAATTTCCCACTTCTCTTCGCAGCTCTCGTTGGAGTAGTGGGATACTTGGCATTCGCACTGATGCCCAGCCCCCAATTCCAAGGCCCCGACGGTAGCTTTGGCGTGTTTGTGATCATGGGTCTTGTCGGTATCAGCCAAATTGGTGCGATCGTCTGCAGCTTGGCAGTGCTCAGCAACGGCATCCTGCGAGTCAGCATCGACGACGACGCGCTAGGGAAGATCTCAGATCAGAACGAGGAGGGCAGCGGGGATGGCGAGGACCGCCCGCTCCTAGCGGGGTCTGTCAACCGACAGCTGCAGCATCTAGCACACTTGAAAGGATCCATCGCCGGGGTGTACTCGCTCTACGGTGGGGCTGGAATCCTGCTGCTCACCAAAGTGGGGGGACTTTTGTTCGACGTCTTGTCCGCCGGCACGCCATTCTACATCATGGCGGGATTTAACGGAATCCTGTTGGCGACGGGTATCGTATGTGGTGTTATGAACCATGTGGCTCGGGTCACAGTGTAAAACAAGAGTAAAATGTCAAACGCTTGTTGTTCTACCTAGATCTAAATATGGGAAGCCTGCGTCCCCGGTGTTTCAGCCTGACTTAGGTGCATCGGGGCCATGCAGCTATACTCTTAGCCTCACAGTCCAGCGTCAAAAGTTGCTGGGGCCACAATCCGAGGTTAGCCGCGCAAAATGGACCTAGGATAGCGAAAAGGAAATTGCGACTCGGTTATCGGACCCGCGTGGCTTTTCTAAGGTTCAATTTGCTGATTCCCCACAGGCTCAGAGGGTCAAAGGGTTACAGGGTCAAAGGGTGGAACGGTCAACCTGCCTCTTTTCCCTGATCCCAGAGAGCGCGAAGTACGATAGACGATCGCATAGATTTGGACTCGGTCTTTCTCTACGACAATTCCCGTTTCATCCTGGTCGCAATGCCGGACCACTTTTAGGCCGAGCGAACACGGGCTATGGCCCTGTGTTTATGACGAGCGACCAACAATCTACCCGATCAGGGTGTTTTGGAGCGATAATCCACCTTAACCCTGGGTCGGAGCCGGAGCCTAAACCAACCCCAGTTTAGTGGGGAGAATAGCGTGCCCCTTTTTGGTGTTTTGCGCCCGCTTACTGGGGAACCCCTGGGGCCTGCTCGTGGTCCTGTTCCTGACCCGTTCTTGTGTTAGCCCACTATCACTTCATCTCCCCCCAATCAGGGCCCTTGAGGTTGTTCGAAATGTCCCTCAATGGCCCTAATGCCTCTTGGCGCCCCTGTGCAGGGTTGGGAGGCCATACTTCGCTTTTATGGGCGTATCGCCCCCAGATCCTTCTCCTCCTCATCTGGCTTCACTCTCTCGGCGCAACGCCCTTCCATTCTTTTTTTACAGTCTCTCGTTAAACCAGTCCCCTCGTTTTATACTGGTAGTTGCTATTTCAAGTCCTGCACTCTTTGAAGCCATTTCCACGCTTTATTCGCCAGATCTCAAACATCTCACCGTGAAAACACCGTCAACATGCGTTTCCACTCCATTGCTCTCTTGGCCAGCGCGACTGCCGTCGCCGCTGGCAACACTGCGACTCTTCTGCTGCCTGGTTTCCAGGGTCGTGATCTTCAGGCTGGTATCCTCAACTCGGTATGTGCCTAATCTCGAGTCGAAGTATGAACGAGTGTTTCAACTAACATCAACATCAGAACGGCGAGACCACCACCTACCTGATCACCTGCCCGACCACCGTCGCGGCCTCTGCCTGCGGTATCCTCGGCACTGGCATGACCGCCATGGCCGCGCCCACCACCATGTCACTGGTCAATGCTGACAGCAACGGAAAGTAAGGGATTCCATGAAACGCGCATACCCAACCTTAAACCCCAAATCTGACACCTCACAGCACCGCATCCATCGGCTGCAATGTCTCCGGCACCACCTACGCCTCTTGCCTCGCCCAGGAAGGCACCGTGACCGTGTCCCACACCTTGAACAGCAAGAACATGAACTTCATGCCCGTGACTGTGACGGGACCCTGCTCAACCAGCACCCCGACACCCACATCAACCCCGACCCCGACTTCGACTCCGACGTCCACCTCGACCATCACCCCAACTTCGACGGTCACTCCCACCTCGACCCCGACCCCGACCCCGATCTCGAGCCCCAAGAAGTCCACCAGCAAGCCCGCTTCGTCTACCCGCATGGTGACCAGCTCGGTCATGCTCCCCTCCAGCTCTGGCACCGTCATCACCGGCACCCCTCTTCCCGCTGCCTCTACCGCCCCGGCCTCAGCTACCCCCTCCGCCGCTGGCGCCGTCGCTCTGTCCGGCAACGGCTGGGCTCTGGGAGGAGCCATCATGGCGATGTTCTACGCCCTCGCATAAGCGACGCGACCTTTTGTTTCCTTAATTGTGCAGGATTCTAGTATCGAGTACCCACGCGGGGCTAATGATGTTGTTGTCTCCATTGGGGGTTTCCTTCTGCACCTTTGGAGCCAACGACAATATTCTAATTGGATGTTTAACATGTATCACTATGTGTACCACATCTACTATTATTTAATGATTGATACCTTTCTACACGACTGCATGATCCAGCGCCGGCTCCTGTATTTTTTTCTCTTCTATCTGTATCTACTGTTCTGAACTGGATATACCATTTTTTTACATTCCTGCTTTTTTTTTTCAAATTACATAATTGAATGCTTGCTTATCGACTGGGGATTCCTTTTCTGAAATACTGGAGTATGTCAAATGCTCATTGTGAAGTTCAGCCTTGACGCAACTACATAAGCTCCATCAGGTTAAGAAAACTTTGATTAATTGATTCATTGATAAATTGATCAATTGTAAAGTATGAGTGAGAATTGGGGATTCTCGTGAATCAAGCTCTAGCTAATGGTGTTGAACGAATTGGCTTCTAAGATTGTTAAAACCAAGTGAGCTCCTGCTAATGTTCATTTCCCTCGCTATGTCTTTAATACAACGATATCCCCGCAAAAATAAGAAATGATACTCGCCAAGCAGCCTACCGGAACAGGCAAAGACCTGTTGCTCCCCTCCCCTCACCACAGTATTTACAGCGACCATAAGGTAAGCCAGTAATAAACCCCCGGCCGCAGTTGTGCAACTACACGCCTCGTTCACTAAGACCTGACCACCTTCCTCATCGATGTATCTCACAGCAAGTAGGTGACTTCAAGATCAAAGAAATTGATCAGCCGGCGATAACGCAACTCCAGGGACACATAACTAACCTGAAAACAAAATCTCAAAGAATTCTCAGTCCAGTAGCAAATTCACAAGTAATGGTAAGATCCCTCTGATAATCCAGGAACACAGCCGCAAGCAGCGCCTCCATGGAAAGAGCCATAAGTTTATCCGAGACATGGTCCGTCAGGCTCGACGCCGGATTAACACGTATGAATTGCTGCAAAGACTTGGTGAATCCCAGAGTAGCGAGACGCTTGGCAGCAGAATTCCTCAGGAAGTGGCTGTTCATGTCCACTTTAGTCAACATGGGTCAGCTTGGATATACGGGGAAAGAAGGACCTAAAAAGAACTTACCGACGGCGAGATCCTGCTCGACGCTTTTCAGATTCCGCAAGAAACCTAGTAGGCTTCTTCCTAGTAATGCGAGTCGCTTGTTGCCCTCGGGGGTAGAGGTCGAGCTTGCAGCCTCGAAGACTCGGCTCAGGAGAGCTTTGTCTTTGAATGTGTAGTTTAGAGTTTCTTCGAGGACTTGGATCTGCTCGGGTGCTAGGAAGCAAGGCATTGTTGAGGTTTTTGCTCTGGTTCGGAAACGGTCATGAGATTGAATGGTGGGAATGAAGAAGATTGAAAGGAAGATCGAGCGAACGAGATAGATCAAATGAAACTGGAAAGTTGAGCTCAATGATTTGGGGTACGATTCCGTATCGCCTGGAAAATCAGCGCGATATGCTTCTATCTTCGTTTCTTTCGTTTTCCAACTTTCTCAATCCGTTTCTTGTCTATCTATGTCAAAACAAGATACTCTATCACGATGTCAGATTACCTTGTTTCCATGGTATAGGATATATTGATCCCGGCCTTGTCTACCGATGAATACCAGCAGTGGGTCAACTTTGCGTCTTCCTTAATCCTAAGACCATCAAGGGATTATCAAGGACGAGCAAGAATTAAATAAGTCCACGGCAATATGGATCTCACGTCAAGGATAATGCGTATTGGTTTTTTAGAGACTGTTCATATCACTATCACTATCACTATCACTATCAGTGACCGTGGCCTAGCATGTTCTACGTGCATTTGATCTGGATTCATATCAACCAGTTGCCCTCCTACGAGGCACTGTATTATCCAGAAGCCAGGATCTCGCTCATTGAAGTAATTTGTTGTTCTATCATAATGATAATCATACACCATCCACCATCATCCACCATCCGTTACCCAGCCCGTTTATCCAGATCTAGTCCATCTGCGCAAACACCTCCAGCGCCTCATGTAACTTTCCAAATACACCGTTATGCCATCCCTTCAATGTTTTGAACTCCTCCGCCGACAGCATGCCCTTATACATGCGCAACCATCCCCCTACAATGAAGTCCGCATAAGATGCTCTGCTCCCCATCAAGAATGGGCCACTCGGGTCTCGCGTATAAAACCTCGCAAGACCCCCCCAGAGTCTCCTCAAAAGCCTTGAACAGCTCCGCCCTCTTCTCCTCACTAATCCTCAAAGCCTCCCACGGCACTCCGATCCTGCCCGACATCATCGCCTTATCTTCCTCCGCAGTATCAGGATCAAACGGAAATCCCTCGAGCACCAGCTGCGTATACGCAGTAAAAGCAGCATCCACGTTCGTATTGAACTTCAGGTATGCCTTAAGAGGCCCATCCGCCACCTTCGCCTCCGCAATCGGCGCGTGAAGATCCAAGTCGCGCTCAAACTCGTACCCCAGCTCCTGTGCTGGGAACAAGTCTCCGGCTCCCGAGGACGGATATTGTTCCTGTAGGTAGACGGCGTTTTCAAAAGAGTCGCCCACTATGCGCCCGGTGGCTGGATCGGAGATCACGGGGAGGGTCTGGTAGGGGGATCCATCGGCGAATGTGCGCGAAGCGGGGATGTTGAGAGCGGCGCGGACGGAGCTGATCTCGCCCAGGGGCACCCAGGTTGTTTTGTAGGGTGTTTTTTTGAAGTTTAGGGCGTAGCGAGTTTTCCAGGGGTTTGGGGAGCAGGAGGTCTTTTCTGCGGGGGGTGCTAGAGCGATGTCGTAGAAGGTGATTGGGGCCATGGTGAGCGATGTTGAGGTCGCGGTAGTGGTAGTGGTAGTGGTTGTGGTTGCCACGGTGAAACTTTAGACGGGCAATTGGAGGTGAACTGTGATGCACTCTGGAAAAATTGGAGTGGAGGTTTTCTAAATATAGTGGTGCATGGGTCGGATGCTACAGTAGTTGAGTCATGGAGAGTCCTGCATGATCCGAGTGGGCGCAAGTGGGGTTATGTAGAGAAGAAGCCCTGCGATGTATCCAGCCACAGTAACCAGCACATCACTCATCGTGACTGGGAATTATAAAGTGAGTTCTTAGTTCAACTAGGAAGGAATTGGCACCTTTTATCTTTCCTGGCCAGATTCCTGTCCGCCCCGACTGCGTGTGTCAATTTAATCAGGTAGATCACGTTCTATTTCTCCCTTGACTTGTAAGTTCTAGCTGAAAGTGTTCACTATACTAAGTTATTCACGCCCACCTATCGAGGCCATTATCGCAGTCCACACTTCCTCTGACTGAATCAGAGTATCATGATCTGTCCCAACAACCGTCGTGGCAATAAAGTCAATGGCCTCTATACCTGGTGCCTGCCAACATTTCTTAAAATATTCTTGCCCCCGACTACCCACCAACGCATCCGTAGCAGCAAAATATGCATGGATACGAACTCGATCATCCATGGATTGTTCGCGCTCAGCCATCATCTGTGCGAATTGAGCATAATCCGAGCAGACCCCCCAGTCACTGTCTCCCTTTCGAAGACACTGAAGAGCCTCGCTATTAGCGCCGACAGTATTCTCATCGTACATGAAGCGAAGGGCATGGCGAAGGAGCTCGGCCTGTTCCGCCGGTAAAACGCCATAGTCATGTTCGATGCTCCGCCCATTAGCATCGAGAGATACATGATTCTCCTCTGTCGCCTCACCAGTACGTGATGTCGATGTCAACTTGCGAATCAAACCACCACTTGTCGCTAGCATAGGGGCTCCCTGCGTTACGAAGAAGCGTGGGATATGGTGCCAGAGAGTGAAGGCTTTGGTTGGTATATACTGTGCCATTTGCATTACTGTCACGTGCGAGTTGGCGGTATCAACCCAAGGAGCTATATAAGCGAGGTAAACGTTAATTGATGTCCCCTTGAATGGAGGAAAGATTCAAGGAAAATACCTAGAAAGAAAATATCTGGGTTCAAGAGTTCACGGCATTGAGCCCAGATATTGAGCAAAAACACCGTGCCTGCGCTGTGAGCGACAAGATTGACGCGCGCAATACCGAGATATGCTAACAGGCGCGGTACCAGATCGACCCAAGTGGAGACTCGCTGGCTAAGTGGAACATCAGTCGATGCGCCCATGCCCGGTCGGTCGACGACGAGCAGACGCACGCCAGCGCGCTCTGCAAGCGCGTGCAGATGGATGCCCACATAGCGCGAGGCAAACATACCCGGCAGAAAGAGCAGCGCGGGGCCCGTGACGCAGCCAATCTCGGCAAAAGAGACTGCCAGCGAACCACATGCTGTGTCGAAGGTGGCACGGCGGTGGAAGCGGGAGTTGGATATAAGGCCGAGAGGATCGGACATAGTTACGCGGTATCGTGGGTGACCACTTAAAAATCTGACTCCCAAGAATATATTATTTTCGCTGATGATAGCGGGCAGTGTTTAATTATGAGGGCGCGGAATCAGCAAACACGTGGGGGTGAGATTTGGCGAGGCAGAAACTTATATTGCTGACATCTCAAATTAGGCTACAAATATACAAGCATTTTGTATAGGGCGATCTTGTAAATTACCATATTACCGAAAACTTGAATTATCCGCCCAAAGCGTATTTTGCTAAGTCTGTAAGATCAATTCCAAATGTGTGAATATTCCGGGCTGGTCTTGTCATTCTATCTTAATTCAAGCTATGGCTGTCACCGCTCAATTAGTTCGGGCGACTGCAAAAAGGCTGACTAAAAGCAAATGATAGTTCCGCAATGCCTAACAATTTGATGCATCCACCAAAAAAGGAGAAAGGAGAAGCCTGCCATGTATTAATTTTCCAATCTGAGGCCACCTTAGTTAAGAATGCAGCGCTACCACCCTGAAACCCAGAGAGCCCCCATATTCAATCCTTGCAGAAGCCCAAATCAGCCCGAGACCTCTGTCTTTTGGAAGCGGTCTTTCAGGGTCACCATGAGTGGCGGCTTATCCCAAAGGAAATAAACCTTCTGGTTAGTCCAGTTTGTACTTTCAGAACAGAGGGTGAGGTCAAAATGGTAGAGCAGTTTGCAGATGATGAGGCGGATCTCGCAGTATGCCAAGCTGTAGTAGAGCATCGTAAGAAGGTGAATTTAAATACTCGGATAACACATACTTTTTTCCAAGGCAGTTACGTGGTCCGAGGCTAAAAGGCTGTAGGACATCTTTCTTGTCTTGTTCGAAGCGTGCATCGTGGCCGAGCCATCGCTCAGGGAGGAAAGCGTGGGGAAAGGTAAAGTTTGACGAGGAGTGATATGAGGCGTAGTGATGACATGCGGCGATGGTCTGCTGATAATGTAAGTATTGTCCTTGGTTTGTCACACTGCAGACATACCCCTCCAGGCACATAGTGTCCATCAACCATCGATCCATCGGGTGGGAAGACGCGCGCGAGACTTGTGACGAAGGGCGGGTGCATGCGAAGGGACTCTTCAATCACGGCTGCGAGGTAAGCCAAGGAAGCAGCGTTGCGGAAGGTAATATCGTTGTCCTGGGTGAATGCAGATCGGATTTCAGAGACAAGCCGGCTCATAACAAGCGGGTTGCTACACAGGTAGAAGATCGCGCCAGAGAGCAAAGTTGCAGCAGTTTCACTGCCAGCCACGATGAGAATGAATGCGTTCGAGTGGATCTCAGCTCTGCTCATAATCCGCCCTCCATCAAGATATTGGCCCTTGGTCTCGCTAAGACCGTTCTGCAAGATTGCCGAAATGAAATCAGGTCGGGTCATGTTCGTCTCCAGCCGCCGATCGACCTTCTGAGCTGCCAGATCAAAATGCTCAACAGCCTTCCTTTTCACTTCCTTCGGAACCAAAGCGTAGAAGATGGTTCCAAGGACTGGAAACTGATTCGCGACGCCTGCAATAGCAAGGGCTTTGATGGAGTCAAAGATCAATTGAATCCAAGGGTGCAACCGGCTATCCTTAAGACAGTCGAAGGACTCACCAAACATCAAATCGCCGGTGATGTCAAAGGTCGTGTAGTTCATCCAATTTTTGATGTCAATTCGAGGAGACTTTGTAGTCATCTCTGAACGAAGCTTGGCAATCATGGTGTCCACATAGCCCTTAATGAGGTCTTCTTGGTCTCTTAGGGCTCGCTCCGAGAATGCATGGGCCAATAGCCGCCGTTGACGCGCGTGTAAAGCATTGTCCACTGCACAAACCAAGTGGTCAACGCCATTCGCCGGCGGCAGATAGTGACTTCGATCCTTAGCGAAGCAACCTCCGGGTCTGGCACCGTAGATATCACGGAAGGCCTGTGGGGTGTTAAAGGCAAGTTCGTTAGGGCTGATTCGGACAACAGGGCCATATTGTTCATGCAAAGCCAAGACATCCAAGTGGTTCCGGCCTCTCAAGACAGACAACTGTCCGGGGATACGTGAGATGGCCCATAGCTTTCGACCGGGAAAGCGACTGAGCGGAGACAAGTAAAGTTCATAGATGATGCTGCCAGCGTACGCGAGCAAAAGCTAGGTTCAGACGAGCCAAATTTAGCAAGCTTAGATGATAGAACGGACTATAGGCGTGGAGAATAGCCAAGTAGGATATGGTTGGGCAGGATTCTGCTGTAGGATCCTGCAGCTGCAACAAACGAGGGCGTACGGGGATGCAACTTACTAGGAGTGCTGCAGACAGGCACCAAAACAGGGCGCTGGAGACGGGTGTTATCCAAGGCGCCATGATGAGAGCGAGTAACGAAGGAGAATGGGGCCCGGAGTCCTGCAGAACCACAAGGCCGTATTATTCACTTGTTGTAGGTGCCATCTAGTCCTCCTTGGTGTGAGTGGCCGGAGGGTGAGGGTTCCCTGTATTAAAGATCGGTTTATTGAGGCAAGTCTAAAGCAGAACCGAAGTGACACTGGTGAACAGGGGGAAGGTGACAGGTTTGGAAACCGTGATGGCTTGGATACAAGGCAACGGTGATCTTCCTTTGTTCTGGGCTAGCATTCAAACTGATCTTACATATGTCTCCGAATAAGAGACTTTATTCCTAGTCCAGTATACGACTCAGTTGGCCCGATACCACGGCTTCCGGCCGTAGACAATGTGCAGATTGCAATACGTGTGGACATCCGGATTCCTTAAGTCCCTCCGTACACCAGCCAGGAATACCTGAGTCTCATTATTGGACCATCCCAGCACTCGAGTAAACAGAGCCAGCGAATACGACTCAACGGCCATCAGAAGGGAACACAGATTATACCTCCCAATCTGTTTTTGTACAGGGTCCCTCGACCAAGCACTCGACGGAACCTATCAAAACCGAGTATCAGTTCCCTGGAAAAGAAGCAAACAACACCCTCTCCTCCCCTCCCGTCCCAAAATAATCCGAACAAGACAAATCAGCACCGGAAATCGCGTCGTACCTTGTACACCTCATCTCTAACATCTTCAAAACCGGCCTCGACCAGTCGCTGCCGATGTCCTTCGGCGATATTCATAGGCCTGTGAAACGCCTCACTGGCCTCATGCAGCTGACCGAGGAATTCGCACAACGTCGGTGCCAGACGCAACGACTCATCATCCGATCGGAGCGTTACCTCGAACTCCTGCAATTCAACCCAGCCTCCAGGACGCAGATGGTCGTAGGCCTGGTGCAGCAGCCGCGGCCAGTTAGCGATGGCCCCGCCCAGGTCGCGCGCGTGTATGAAATCAAACGGGCGGGCGGCGCTGTAGAGCCAGGGGGATTCGGCGTCGTCGACTAGGAATTGGAGATTGGGCGGGACCCAGGATGGTTGGATTGGGCTGAGGTCGGTGCCAATTACCTCGGCGCTGGGGAAGGAGTCGGCGAAGTCGATGGCCCAGATTCCTGTACCTGTGCCGATGTCTAACGCTCGCTGGATGTCTTTGCCTACTGGGGCGCGGAAGAGAGCGCCGTTTAGGACGAGATTGCGCACATGGTGGAGGAGGTCTTGTCGGTCTTGTTCTTGTTCGTCGTTGGGGAGGACGTAGTGGCCTTCGCGGTAGGAGTGGTATCTTCGCCCGTTTTCATAGGCGTAATTCTTGACGGAGGAGAGGAGAGATGCGGTGTAGCTGGAAGTGTCGGAGTAGTCGTCGTCGTCGTCGAATACGGAGCTTCCTTCTCCGTTTGTTGATGCTGCGGAGGATGAGTCTCCTAAGTCCTCTGAGTATGATGGGGTATTAGAAGATGTGGGTATAGCATGGTTGGAAATATATTGGGCTTCGGGGAAGCTTTGTGGTGCTGCATGAGCTTGGACCGGGAGTTCTGTTGATATTGAAGGCGCTAAAGGTATCCACGCCGCCGGTTCTACTGTGTGAGACACATCTAGTAAAGGCGAAGGAGTTGTATTCGATGCTGCAATCAAGTTGGAATGGGAACGTATTGCTCTGGCATATTCTTCTGCGTCATCTTCAGTCGTCTCCTCAGGTATTGGAGCCAGTTGAGGATGCATGGCTAGGGTATTCTCTTCGGGTACTCCTAAATTCTCTAAACGATCTGGCTGGTAGACAAGCGATAGATCTGGTAATGCTGTGATCTGAGCGTCATGATCCATCCTATCCAGAGCTGGATCCAGAGCTGGTATTGAGCTTAGGGGTGTCAGTGGGCTTAAGTCCACTCCGTTGACCAAGGGGTCAGTAAACGGCGACGGAGACGAAGGCACCTCTTCTGACCTACCCTCCCCCGCAAGTGTAGCGAAGCTCGATGCTGGAAGCAGCTGGGGCTCCGTCGTGACATGTCCATTCTCATCGGTATTTTTCTCAGGCCTCGGAGAAGGCACCCTCATATCCGTACCAAAGCCAGCCACGAAAGGGAAAAGAGGAAAGTCTGAGCACATGGTGGGATAGAAGCCCAGAAAAGTGAGTATGGTCCGCATTGATGAGAGGCCATCCTGTCGGACGTTTGTAACGTTTCTCCTGTTGAACAAGCCGATGGCGAACAAGACCGGTGTAGCAAACTGAGCTCACGCTATACAATCCAGACGGCCCGATGCACGCGGAGGGTAGGACTAAGCGGGTACCGTGCTGGCGAGGAGCCGGTGAAAACGGAAGCCCTAGAGATCGAGTTATGGACTGCCGTTTGGAACGTGGTTGATTTGGGGGGTCAGTGTAGTACATGAAGAAGGGGAATTACCCGAATTATACCAGCATTTGGATGTAATCTCATGGCTAGTCCATCAGGTGCACCAGCTGTTGTCCCAAGACATGCAGTAATCCATGTAGCCCTAATCCGGCCGTTGTTGAAATTATTGCACCCTGCGTCCAGTTACTCAGGCTGTACAATCAGATTGGTCACCTTGCCTAAAAACGGCGATGCGGTGGTCTGCTGATCAGTAAAATTGTGTTGATGTTTGATCAATGTCGGGTTGCACAAGGCAATCGGCTGAACACCACCTGTTCCTGGCGAGGTCGTGCCTCAATGCCTTAGGTCTTTCATAGTAATATCTACACTTTGCAAGAGAAAGAATTTTTGAGCAATGTATTCTCTACTAGGTGGCCGTATCAAGACCGTATGCCCAGCGATGCTCGCAGCAGATCGGGTATTATCTCATGCCTCATTCACACGTTTAGCTCCCTTGGAACTTCTTGAGATCCAAGGCCGGTAAGTCATGAGCCAGGATTCAGGCATTCAAGCACGACTAAAACTGCGCTGGAGCTCCGTTTCCGTCGCGTTGATCCACTTGCGGACGGCGCCCAGGTTTGGGAGCGGCTGGCACTTGCAAACCAGCTTGGAGAACGGTAGTATGCAGAAGACGAATGTGAGCTTCTTCATTAAAGGCCCTCATACTTTCCAGGGTTTTGGTCTGTACTTCCTCACGCAGATCAGTCTCGTTTGAGACAAGCACACCCTTCTCGAGGTCAATGCGGGCGTCCAGAACACCACGCTTGATGAGGTCGATAAGTTCTTTCACAAAAGGTGATTTGGAGCCGGTTGGCTGGGCCTCTCCGCCCACAACATTGGGGGCAAAGATGGTTGCCATTGAGTCGAGAGTGACACGACTGAACGGGACAAGGTACTGCTCAATCGACTTCACGCGGATACGGGAGTAGAGCTCGCTGACGTGACGCTGGAGATGAACGTCGAGAAGGTAGTCGACGCGGTAGGATTCCAAGATATCGAGGCAAGGGCGGAACTTGGAATTGCAGAAGAAGCCAATCGCCCGACGAATGTGCGGCTCAAGCTCAAGGAAATTGCGGAAAGAACTGTTTTCCAACACGCGACGCTGTAATTCGTTGCGGTCCATAGATGCAAGGGCACAAAGGCCGCCGTAGACGGCGACATCGTTGGGTGTAATGACCTCGTTGAAGGTGTCGGCAAGGGAAGACTCGGTCGAGAGGAAACTGGTAGCTGCATCATAATATGAGCGTGCATGCATCAGAGCCAAGCCCTGGGCTGCCATCATCTTAGGCTGATCCTTGACGTGTTCGTCCGGTTTTGTTTGGGCGCTGCTACGCAGACGGTGAACGTTGGATTGGACGTTGAGCCAATCCTCGCGTTCAATGCCCACGTTGATGAGCTTGAACAGCATGTTGGCAATATGGTTTGGTGTGGTGCAATAGTCTCGCATGCGAGAGTAAGCCTTTGCCGCGGCGATCAGTTCACCAGTTTCGTAAAAGTGATTTCCCAGATCCTCATTGCCCATCTAAGCAGGTTAGTTTCAATCACCTAAATTATTTGTACCAGTTCATACCCGAATGCTCTCCTTAATCAAGTTGTTTTTGTATCCCCGCAGCTCATGCTCCAAGCGGTCGGTCTGTGCCCGCACCGAGCGCTGAACTTCCTGTACCCATGACGAGTCAAGAGAAGCTTCAGGCTCCGTGGGGGCAACTTCTGAGAGCGCACGCACAGCTTTCTCGTAGAGTTCTACGTTCTTTCCAGATTTCGCTTCGGCAACTGCGGCTTTGAGGACGTCCGTGGCGAGCAATGTGGAGGTAGTGCCGATGAGGTAAAGGCGGTGGAATCGGGTCCGACCTGGATAGCAATGTTAGTTATTACCGAGGAACATTATAATGCAGTATCCACTGACCAGTGTAATTCGCTATGTAGGATTCGACCTCGAACTTGGGCGGGTCTATAAAATTGGATCGTCAGTCAGCCCTGGCGGCTCAAGCTATCGGCGGCGCGGGCCCGGAGCCTCCAACCCCGCAGTTTTCAACATACCGTCAACCTTTATTCTCGGAGCGAGCGCGCCTGTTCCATTTGCAGCTTCATATGCTGGAGGAGCTAAGCCTTGTGCTGCAGACGAGCTTGTCTGAGCTGGACCAGCGTCCGGCAATGTGGTGTCCATCGTGCTGCACTGCTCGTGGCGGACCACCAGCTCTAGTGAGCGACTCGAGAACGGCGATGTAGCAGGTTATATTTATCACAATCAAGCAGAAAGATTCCCCAAAAGCCCCGATAAGAGCTAGGCCGAGGGTATATTGTAGCAGGAGAGAGTTGATCAACGATCATCACAATGATGGCGGGCTAGAGCTGATAGGCAGTACCCACTACCGCCCTATTCACCGCCATTTTGATATCTGAGCTTCCACTTCGTTTGAAGTACTGCATGTTCATTGAGCTTGCTATTAACTTTCTTTTGATTCATTCGCTCTTTTATTAACAGCTATAGATCCACCCATCTATCCAGACTAAATCACGGTTGATGCCTGAGGCGCCCAATGTGACGTCTCTGCCGAGAGCCGAGGCGTGAATAATCACGAAATCGTCGGCATCGGTCCCCGCGTTTCCTTCCTAGACCAAATAAAACCCAATTACAAGTCTCGGGAATGCATTAAAGGCTTGAGTGATCAATTAAAACATTGATTTAGTGATCTCGGCCTTTGGAAGTCACCCCTCAAGAACTTTGAGAAGCTTCAATATATAACTCGGTGTCCCCCCAATCTGACTCCAACTTCTCCGCATCTCAAGTGTTCGAACCCACATCTGAATTGATCACGAAACCACGCACCTCCTCCACGACATAATGTCCTCTTCACAGCCTATTGCCCTAATCATGGGCGCCTCCCGAGGCATCGGCCGCCAAGTAGCTATCGACATGGCTAGAAACGGCTATGCTGGTACATACCTACCCCATACCCCACACTCTCCATACCAACATCAAACAGTTGAAGACTAACACCCCCCAGTAATGCTAGCTGCAAAAACAACCTCCGACGCCAGCAAAACAACTCCGTTCCCACCCGACCCAAACTCCTCAGCCTCAACAATCAGCACTGTAGAGCGCGAGATCATCGAAAGCGGCGGACGAGCCGCATCAGTCGCTGTAGATGTGCGCGACGCCTCGCAAATCCAACACGCCATTGACGAAACAGTGCGTGTTTTCGGCAAACTGGATGTACTTGTGTACAACTCTGGTGCAATCTGGTGGTCATCTGTTGAGAATACGCCATTGAAGCGGTTCAAGCTTATGCAGCAGATTAATCCGGAGGGGCTCTATGCTACTGTTCTAGCTACGTTGCCGCAGTTTGAGAGGAATGGGTGGAAGGGAAGAATTGTTGTTGTTTCACCGCCTATTTACTCGAGGTTTTTCAGGGGAAAGACTGCTTATGCTATGGGTGAGTTCGTGTTCTTATTCTCTGATGGGATGGGGAGAGTATGTTGCTGATTCTGGTTTAGGCAAGGTTGGAATGAGTGTGCTGGTGAAGGGTCTTGCTATGGATTTCAAGAGACAGGGTCGTGATGAGATGGCTATTACGAGTATTTGGCCTGCTTCGGTATGTTGAATGTATCTGGTCCGCTTGAGATAGAGAGCTAAGGACCTGCAGTCTATTGAATCCGCAGCTACAGAGTTTAACAAGTCCGATGATAAATCCTACAAGAAGGACTTGAGAAAGCCGGTATGTCTGTTTACTTCGGTTATGAAAGTTCGGCGGCTTACATTATACTAGGCGATCTTCTCCGATGCCATCCTGGAGATGCTTCGGGCCCCGCATGCCACTGTCAATGGACTGTTGGACACGGATGAGGACTTCCTTCGTGAGAAATGCGGCGTGTCCGATTTCTCGAAATACGCAGTGATCCCAGGCTCGACACCGCGACGGATCATGCCTGAGAAGTTCCCTGTACTGGAGGTTGCGGAGCAAGATGACGAGGGACAGAGAATGGATAGCACAAAGGTTCGAGCCAACAAGCTTTGAGTGAATTCCACATGCCTGAGTACTTGAGATGCGGATCCTATGTGCCTACTTTGCAGAAAATCGGAAAATGAATTACCGAAAGGCATACCGTACCATATGTAGTATAGCCATTATATTATGCCGACCAAAATAGACACCGCTTCCCATTAATGCAAATAGAAAACAAAAAACACGCTCAGATGCAAAACACACAACAACCCTGACCGAGACGCCAAAGCACCAGAGCAGATTAATCAAATCGTGATTCCCAGATCAAGCCGCCTTGGTATGTATGACCTGAATCATATGTACGTACATCACAGAAGAACTGCAAAGCCAGCAACGAAAGCGCCCACAAAGGCACACAGGCCGTACACCTGGCCAAGTTCCAGGGACATACGGACTGCACCGCCCGTAGCGACGTCGGTGCCAAGGGGGATTGGAGGTGCTGCTGGCGGTAGCGGATGAAGCAGCGGAGGTGGTGGTAGTAGTTGTCGCGTTGATACGGACAGGGTCTTGAGCTCCACACGGGTGGTCGTCACGGCAAGAGGCCTGACAGGAGGAGTCGGTCTGCGCACACTTGGTGACGCACTGGTTGCCGGCCTCGGTGCAGATGAAGTAGGCCATTGTTTCGGAGTATTCGGAAGCGTTGGGGCTGATACCATTGCTGCAGATGCATGAGTAGTCGAGGGAATTCTGGAATGTATTAGTGAAGAAAGAGGAGGATATGGGCCGGGGAGACGTACAGCATCGCAGGTGTTCACTGAAGCACCGGAAGACCCGTTGACCTGCAGGCAGATCAAGGGACACGAGTTCTGTTGGTAAGAGCACCAAGTCTCTGTTGATCGTATGAGTGATTGATTGTTTATCGCAGGATGAGGATTGGGTACTCACTTCTAAGCGGCAGAGACACCGAACTCGGGTCAATGGTGGCAGACCACTGGCTGCTAACCATGACCACGGCCACGGCCAGGATCAACAACAACTTGGACAGCATGGCGGATAAGGAACTGAGAAACGATTGACAGGTGGAATGATAGCTAGATAAAAGTGTCAGAGACGGAGATCAAATCCGGAGATCAAACAGTAGAATGTAAAAATAGAAGGTTGGAATGAAGGGAGGCCATCGCAAAGTCTTGGACTTACCCGCAAAAAGTTGAGAACGCGATCGAGAACACGTCTGAGAATGAACAGTGCAGAGCAGCTTGCAACCGATGAACGTGCGGAAAGTGGGACAATTGAAGAAGAAAAGAAGAAAAGAAAAGAAAAAGGAGAGGAGCAAAAATGAAATCCAGAGTTGAGTCAACCCTTGGAAAGGGCAAGATCACGCGAGTATACAGAATGTGCTTAGTGGCACCGGCATTTGCTGGGGCTTTGCGTGATACCGCATTGGATCAAGTTTTTTGAACTACTTACGGGTCCTTTAGGGGTTCTTAGGGGTTCCAAGGTTGACGCTAGTGTCTTTTATTGATACCTACGTTGGCGGTCAAGGGGTCGACACACTCTCGACATGTCGATCCAGGAATAGAATGCTTAACATTGAATACAATTGCTGTGTGTGAAGCCGAAGGGACAGTCACTTCCGCGATTTTCATCAAGACCAGTCCCCGCTGCAATAACGAACGTCGTGAACGATAAAGCGATGTCTCACTTTAGCACGGCGCCGATCAGCAACGCTTGCTGCTTTAGGTTTAGTGTACACTGCTGGCTTGAGGGTCGCGAACAATGTACCTAATTATGTACAGTACATGAGATAGGGAATTTCCATCATTGAGATAGGAGCCGAATCCATTCATAAAGTTGAGATACAGTTGTATACCACAAGAGATCCCCCGTTGTTGACATAGGACCTTATTCACATTCTAGAAACAACGAACGCACTGTGTACCCCCGGAATGACAGCTTACATAAACACCTCGGCCCTCAGACCCAAACTCACGGTGCGGATCTCGGAGATCGTCTGATTGACTTCACATCTCGAGCTAATAAACACCTCTGCTGGGACTTAGGACACCCGTTCCAAGGTACATCCATTCATCCACCCCTCTACCCCTCCATCACCCGACCACCCAACCCTCTAGTCATACCATCCCACTCCACCCCTTCACCTCGCTTCTATAATTGTCCCATCGCCTCCCCGCATGGACCCTCGCATCCCCGAACCAAACCTGAACCCCTCCCCATCCCCCTCCCAGCATTGAAACAAACCAAAAGAAATGCCTCCCATTTCGCAAAGCTAACAACACCCTCAGCACCGGCTTCCCCCTCCCACCCTATCAACCACAACCTAATGGATGGAGCCAGCTCCTGAGGCCGCCTCCCCGGCACCTCGGCCGGACCTCCCCACCCCACCCGACGCCCCCGCATGCAGTGAAAGCCCAACACCGTCTACAAACTCCCGGCCTGTCTCAGCCGTCGTCCCACCCTACTGGCAGCGCCACGAACGCAATGCATCGCGCGCATCCCAGAGTTCCCTCGTACCGGGCATCACACTAGAAGACCACGCCGCCGACCCGGAATGCGAGACGAGTCGTGGTCTCTGGGCGCGCAGCGTCAGTATTGAGGATCATTGCGTTGTGCAGGGGAAGACCGGGGTGGGTGCTTATGTGGTGTGGAATTGTACGGTGCATACGTTAGATGTGAGTTCGGTTTTGCAATCTTCAAGCTTCTGCATATGATACGTGATCTATGCGGATCTGGATCTGGATCTGGATCAGGATCAGGATCTGAATCCGGGGGCCGTGGTGGATTTGAGCTAACTGGTTGGTTGACAGGGAGGACCGATGGTTGTTCGATTGAGATACTCTGAATTTGACGAGCTGAGGCAGAGGCTCGTTTCTTCGTTTCCGCATGCTAGGAGTGCGCTTCCTGCTCTTCCGCCGAAAAGTGTGCTTTTCAGATTCCGGCCTACTTTTTTGGAGAATCGGAGGGTTGGGCTGGAGTATTTTCTCAAGTGAGTTCTTTTTTCTTTCCCAGGTGAATGCTAGATGGGGTTGGATGGTGCTGATTGATGGTGGTAGTTGCATTCTCCTGAACCCGGAGTTTTCGAGCTCGCCGATCGTCAAGGATTTTCTCTTTGGGCGAATGTCATAATGCATGAACATCATCTATCTCAGATGATTCAGACCTGGTGCCCTCGGGTTTTTGTAGTATATTGTGGATTTGTCACTTCTGAATGTTGGAGGTTTTCGTACTAGTATAGGAGATTGAATTCATGAAATTCGTGCTGAAATCTTGCAGTCAACTAACAATTGAAATTGAGGAACTTTGCTACTCACTCGGAAAAAGCACAGTTGAGACAAAAGAGATAGGTAGAATTGGTATGCAATCTGACAAAAGAAAAAGATGAGAGAATGAATCGATCTGCAAGCAGGAACAACAAACATCGAACGCCTGGCTATGATACAAAACCAATCTTGCATATGATACAGCAACCAGAGACAGCAGACACAACACGTGTCTTTTGAAAGCTCTTCACAATATAGCCTGGGATATTAATTCTTCTCTGGATCGTTCTCAAGTGTCTCCGTGGCATCATACGCAGACTTGAGATCGCCCTTCGACTTGGTTTTGCGTATGGTCATCCACGTCCGCATGTCCGCGCGGAGAATCTTGCGAAGACTGATATTCGCCATGTGAAACATGGCCAGCAAATGGCGAGGGCCTGGTATTCCACCAGGAAAAACGAGGTACAGCCCTGAATCCTGCAGAGATTCCGGTCGGAATTTATCATGGTATGCCTTCTTCCCGCGAATAGGGAGACGGGAGAATGTATGTCTGTACAGATCTCGTGTGAGACTGGCCATAGTCCTCGGCATACCGGCGATATCCTCAGACGAGAGAGCACGACAAGGCTCGAAGCCGAAACCTAGATATGTGACGCCAGCACGATGCAAAAGGGCCATGGCAGCGACGATGAGCAAATCACTGATTCCCTTTGGACTTCCAGGGGCAGCGATGCAGGGGTCGACGTGATAGCCACCGCAGCCTAGACGGCGCAGGGCCGCGAAGCCGTTGATCTGGCCGTCCGGGCCGCGGCTGTATACGAAGGTCATCAGGCCTGGGAGAGCGAATGGGTCGTAGACTGTAATGAAAGCCTGTGGACCCCCGGCATCGTTACGTTCTGCGCGCCAGGCATCATAGATAGCGATAAGCTCTGTCTGCAACTGGGTACTTGTGCCGTGGACAGCGGGTGCGTATACTCCGAGCGTGACGGCGCCTTTTTGGGGATTTAGCAGCTGGCGGTTTTGTACGGCGATGCGTTTCCCGCTGCGCTCTAGGAGGATATCGTTTGTTTGGGGGTTGAGGACGCGTTCGGTACCAAACCGGATGGTTGTCCAGCCATGGGGTTGGGCGTAGTCTTGGACGAAGGATTCGCTTGCTCCCATGAAGGCTATACCCCAGTGATGCTTTCGTCGGTATGCTGCGAATTCTTCCATGAGGCTGGCAATCGTATGAGGTTCGCAGAGAGGGTCGCCGCCCACGATGGCTATTCCAGTCTGCACTTTGAAGGAGACTGCTGCTGTTCGTGCCTTGTTGACATAGAAACGGTAGCTGGGGTCGAGGATGCCCATATGTGCGACTCGGCCGTATTGCGATGTGAGGCGTTGGATGGCCGTCATGGTGGAGAAGTCGCCGAGACAGAATACATCGCCTTGCTCGGGCTTGCTGGCGAGTTTGTGAAGAGACTCGCTGCTGGTGTGTGGATAGCTATCGACTCTCAGAGTTGGAGTGGTGGAATCGTTGGTGTCACGGTCATCGAGGCTGGTGGGTGGTGAACTCTCAATTCCGGTAAGGGTACGACTGGTGCTGCTTCTTGAGCTGGCACATGATGATGCCGTAAGGGACGTGGTGAAGTCGCAGCGCAGGTGCTCGACGACCGAGATGTTCGAGGTATCTAGCCGGCCATCAAGCTTGGGGCAGATGTAGAGCTGATCGACCAATGCATCGCCGAGCTCATCCAACAACAAGGTCTTTTTCGAATTCGACCCCACAATGTCGACAACATTACACTTTCGTCCTCGACGACCCTTCTTCTTCTTCTTTTTGTCTGGGGAGATTTCTTCGATATTCATATGGGAATCTGGCGCGGCGGTGATCATGATCGGTGGCACAGTCTCGAGGAAAGCCGCGCAAGGATGCATGACGGGCAAAGAGAGAAGACTGAAGACGCGCGGCACAGAGAAATTGAAGGACTGAGACCAGAAATAGATTGAGCCATCTCAATGGAAAAGGAAGGAAGGAAAACCGTGGAAAGCGCACAGGATGACAGGATGACACGACCACAATCACACGTTCGGCGCTGAACCTTCCCCGTGTACCATTCCGGGTCTGTTTCTACACAATTTCCATGTATATAATCCTAGGCAGAGGTATTCTGCGTATTCCCATTACCAATATACAAGCTTCTCTTTCTCCACTCAGGACCCTGGAACAAGTCCCTCAACGATCGGCTACCCAAGGACCCTGAACGGGGCCGCCAATCACTACAGCCCGATCTTCGTCCGGGAGCGGAGAACAGCACCAAATGGAACACGATTCCGTCATTTCGGAAGTAAAAAAAAGGAAAAAAGGAAAAAAAGAAAAAAAGGCGGCCAGTAATGGAAGAATGCTGGTGCCTGACGCGTAGAGTTAGACTTCAATAGGGTTTATGACAAGCTCCTCGGGAGCTTGGCGGTCCAGGGTTCTTCGGCCCTACTACGCCCTACGGCTGTGCTGCCCCACATGACCCTAAGGTAGTATATTTGTGGAGTCCCGTTTTTAGTCGGTCTTGTCTAATCTGCTGCTGCCTAGCACGGGAGCTCGGAATGCTTGTGAGATCCGTGAATTAGGGCTTCCCGGCCTGTTCGCGTGGCCCGCGGGCCCCGGCTGGACTTTGTAGCTTCACTGAACTCGCGTGAGATTGCACGTGTTTCGGGCAAGCCCGTAGGTAGGATCTGGTTTGATAGGTTCTCTCGTATATGTGACATAGCCACCCTCAAACGCTCGGGCTTCCGTGTATGCTAATTGTAGCATCGCTGAATGAGGCTCAATCCGCGTAGACTGAACTTTTCCACATGTACGTGCTATTACTGATTTCGATGCCGTAAAATTAATGATACATCCCGATCAGACCATTTTGGAAAGTTAAATATACGAGTCCATACCCGATGAAGTGGCATGACCCTGGGATGTCGTGATCTCTGAAACCGTACACGGAATGTACCACAATGCCCGTCGCGAGTTCATAAATAAATCACCGCCACTGCTTACAGGTCTGCGACAATGGCTCAACAACGTCATTGCAAACACAGTTCCAAATCTCATTCGCATTCCACCCCATCTGTCGAGCGACATCTAGTATACCTCGAATGCAACTGGAAGCAGCACTCTCGTATAGATGTGGGGGCGGGTTCTGACTATCCTCCAACCACTCCAATGCACATGATAGCCTCTCATAGTAGGCCATTGGTGCTTTCTCTGGACCCAAGCGTGTTTCTAGAGTAGTCATATGCTAGATCTCGAGAAGCAAAATGCCAAGCTCGAGTAGTGCGACTTTGGGCTGAGCACTCGGTGCTGCTGTCATCGTAGTTGGGTTTGATTCATCGATCCCAGCGGATACGAAAGCTCGACTGAAGTCGATTGATTGAAGGGTTACTTTGTTTGTAGGATGGAGAAGAAAGAATACCGTCTCATTTGACCACCTATAGTCAAGCCATTTTGTCTTGGAGAGCTGGAGTAGACTTGAAGCGAGACTATACGCGAGAAGCATCCGTAGTCGCAAGGAGAAAGCTATACTCTGTGGTGGAGATTCACATCCAGATACGATAGCTTTCAATGTGATCTTTTGAACATTGTGCTCTTCAATGATTATCTGTCCCTTCGTGCTGATTGTTCTTATCTGACTAGTTGTCGAAAGGCCAAAGTCAACGAGCTGCGCTCCAATTTTGGCGGCGGTGATTGCAGCACAGAAATCGTCTATCGCAATGAAGCTTGTCTGAGGTGATTTTGCACTTGAGTGGTCTGCTTCTACTGGGCTGATAAAGCTGACCCGCGAAAGAGGCTAGGAAGCTGTGGCTTCACACTCGTCTTTGTGAAGGAGTTGGATTGGGAGCTCGTGCCATCACAACTGGGATGGTGTCAAATGGGTTGCTTCAATATTGAGCTGGAAGGACATTGTCGGAGTTCGTTTCTTCGCTCGTGAGGGCTGCATGATCTTATCGACGACGTTATATCGATCCTTAAGGATAATGTTTGCCTCGTGTTTGGTATGGCAAGTGCTATCTCCACAATAACGGCAACGTGCAGTATAAAGATCAGTGGCGAGGGGGTGGACTCGCCAGAGAGCCTTAGAAAGTTGAAGGGTTTCATGGGACGAGACTGAAGTTGTTGCACTAGGGCGGTTGATCAGGACAATTTTCGAGAATCGTTGTAGCGAGTCCGTCGCGGAGTCAAGATCTTTGATTCTCTTCCTTATGTCACTGTTCCTGAACATGAGTCGGGGCCCGGTAAAAGATCAATTTGGCGGATGTTTCCGGTCTGGTTTGCCTCGGTAATCCAAAGAAGGCCATCTGCTTCGTTCTATATCGAATAGCCTCAATACCTGTGCCTGTTACAACTACACCAGTACAGGATACCCCTATACAGGATACTTCTTCGACAGGGTGTGATCTAGGTACGTAAAAATAGTGTATTACTTATTGTTTAAAGCTAAGGTGGTATCTGTTAGCATCTACTCCGGATGTTGCCAATGAGGCCCCCGGTAAGAATACCTCTTTGGGTTCTCGCGTTCACAATCAGGGCCAGGGCCAGGTTCAGGGTGAGACCAAAAAGAGGAGAGGAAAGGGTAAGGCAAATGCCGACTCCAACGACTTAGTAAAGGCACTGAATGCCGCAAAGGTCGCTGATTCCGCGCGTCCTGTGAAGGTTTCTACTAAGTCACCGGCTGCGCCTGTTCCTGACTCTGGCTCCGATTCTGAAGACGAAGATTCGGAGTAATTATCCTGACTATGGGTAGATAGTGGTCAACTGGCGGAGAGGGAAGACAAGACTCCCCGTCGTCGTGGTAGAAGAAGATAGGAAAAACCATGTATATAGATGGAGGTTCGTTTTTCTCTTTTCCTCTTCGATCTGAACCCGCTGAATTTCATTTCTCGGATTAGGCCTTAGGTGTCTGGGTATTCGCATATAAAGGGGAAGGACAATTGCCGCGCCCGTGGCGCGGCCTTTCTACTTGTATCGAATATATCTCGTTAAGCAATATTTCCAAGGTCTCTTCATCAAGTGCCAAAAGAAGACACCTCGACACACCTTTTGATTGGGAACAAGTCCTTAAATTTGATTGGCATTGACTTCAAGGAGACGGTCATTTCCTGAAGAGACCCAATCAATGCTTCATGGTTAGCGTCTCCCATGAATTCTAGAAGTTGATCGTGGATCTGCACATTCTGCAGAAAGCTAAGAGGATCACCATCGAGTGTGACTACATCCTGGTCCCCAGACCCGCTGTGTGCGGCCAACATTCGAACAGTCTCCGTGAGAATCCGCTGCTGGAGGAGTAGAGCATGGGAAAGTTGGTCCACATATCGCCGTCTGCAAAATGGCACCATTTTTTTCTCGTAACCTGTTTTGCAAAGCTCCACTGTGGAGAAAATTATAGAGAAAGAACCGAGAATTAAGCCGGCTACTTCGATTTCAGACATTGAAATGTCTAAAAGCCTTGAGATCCCCAGCGCCTTGACGCTTTTTTCAGTCGGTGGAAGAAATGAGGAAATGTTGAAGTTCGAGTTCCTCAGCTTAGCTTCTTGCCCGTTCTTCATTTGTCTAAACCTAATATCTGCATCCGTGTCCTGTTTATTCACCTGTATCGATTACTTAGTATAATATGCATCTCGCTCCTTACATGGTTCATGTTGCCGTAAGGATATGCTTTCAGACCGATAATGACTAATATTCACAATCTTGCAAGGACAGAAGTGCAGCGTAAAACGAAAGGGTCCGCTGATTCATAAAGCTTAAAACAAAGCAGGATTCCCCTCTATCCCAATTTGAATCCCTGGTGCATCCACATTTGTCTGAGCAAGCGCGACAATTGCAATACTGACGTACAAAGGAAGCCTCTCAACTGAGATTTCTTTATTGACCTTCACGAAAGATCTTGAGACTGAAGTTTGAAGATTAGGCTGAAGTGAACTTCATCAAGCAGAATATCATCGCTATCGCAGATTAGCGCGGCGCTAGACATGAGACTTGCTTGATGTGGTACCCAGCAGGGCGATGGACCTGGAAAAGCAGCACCTACCACATCAGACTTAAGTTCATTCCGCAACATATGGCATGATTGCAGATTCCTTTCGCAGGAAGCGGTCGAATCCGTTACTTCCCATTTATGACCCGCTCGCCTGTTCTTACCCGGCTTATTCCTGAAACCCGAAAAGGAACTTACAGATTACCAAGAGGAGTTTGGTTCTGATCAGGCGAATCTAGATGCCATTGGTAATGTAACAGAGATCTCGATGCACGTGGGAGTTCATCCGATCATCGAGCCGTTAGGGAATCCTGCGGCTCGTTTTCCCGGGTCTGCAGGAAGCCTGGAATGAACATTTTGTGCCCTAGCAATTCCCCCGATTCGCTGACACGAAAATTGGAGAAGGGCTAGCTGCATGAAAAAGGCTAGAGATGTGAATATCATAGCATCTAATATCGCGCTAGGCACGTGGAACGGAAGCATGGGCGGATTGCCGATGATGATTGGCGAATTGAGCGTCGGAGGTCAGCCGGGTCGGAGGATGTGATTGGGCAATAGGGGCGATTTGGAGATCCACCACGCCCCACGTATCTCCAGGCACGAAAGATGCTTAGCTCCGCCAGGTCAACATCTCCTACGAATCGCGATTCTTCTTTTAATAAAACTCCATACACTGACCGACGCGGGCGAACATTCGATGCAGATAGGGACTTTGCCGACTTCCCGGTTCTGAGCCCTACTCCGCACCGGCTGCCCGGGTTCCTGCAAGCCGTTCAATACCCAGCCTATTACGATCAACTGGCCCAGCATGTGCCCGAAATATGTATCCCTCATTTGCTTGTCCGCACATAAGATGACATGCCATGCGTGGAAAGCTGACGGACGACGCTAGCAAGGAGACGCTGGCGGGTGCCCCGGCGCGCAGCTATAAAGCACATTCCTCGGTCGTCTAGGGTAATGATTCTCGCATTCCCATCGCGAAGCTCTTTCCTCCTTCAGCGTCAACTCAATCATGAAGGCCAATACCATTCTGCCCATCTTGGGTCTCTCTGGTAGTGCTTTGGGCGCTGCTGTCGCCCGTAGCACCCAGGAGCCCTGGGGTTACAAGTCGGGTTCCAAGGAGTCCATTGCCAACCTGAAGGATAAGATTGAGAATGTTGTCTGGATCCTACTGGAGAACCGTGGATTCGACAACATCCTGGGTGGTGTCCACAAGGAAGGCCTTGACAACGTTGTCAACAACGGCCCCTTCTGGAACCCCCAGCTCGTCAACGAGACAGATAGCAAGAAGTGGTACAGTGTCTTCAAGGACTTCGACTCTGTCCTTCACGACCCTGACCACTCTGTGACGGGTAACAACTTTGAGTTCTACGGAACTTATCACCCCGATAGCAAAGCTATCGCCGATGGCACCCTGAAGCCTGATCTCAAGGGCTTCGTTGAGCGCCAGATGGCCGTCTACCCTGCCATCTCCGCCCAGCGTGCCACCGAGGAGGTCATGGGATACTACTCCGAGAGCGAGATCCCTACTCTCGTGGACCTGGTTGACGAGTTCACCACCTTCAACTACTGGCACTCGTGTATCCCTGGTGTAAGTTGCTCTCGAGAGACCAAATATAACATATATTTTGAAACTAACAACGATTATATAGCCCACCAACCCCAACCGTCTCTGTGCCGTTTCCGGTACCTCAGATGGCCATGGTGAGAACGACAACGACTTTGATGTTTCCGCCATCGACGCTTCAAGCATCTTCGAGGTTGCTTCCTCTAAGGGTATCTCGTGGCGCAACTACGACGGCACCAACGGCGACTTCTTGCCTGATTCCATGTTCTTCAACTGGACCGCTAAGAACGCCCAGGCCAACGTCGTTCCCCTCGAGAACTTCTACCAGGATGCCTACCTCGGCCTCCTGCCCCAGCTCTCTTACATCAACCCCTCCTGTTGTGGCGAGAACACCAACTCTATGCACCCCTCCGGCAACGTCTCTTTCGGCCAGGTTCTGGTCAAGCAGGTGTATGAGGCCCTCCGCGCCAGCCCTCAGTGGGAGAAGACTCTCCTCGTTCTGACCTACGATGAGACCGGTGGTTTCTTCGACCACGTCCAGCCCCCTCTTGCTGTCCGTCCTGACAACAAGTCTTACACTGAGACTGCCCCCGATGGAAAAAACTACACTCTTAACTTCGACCGTCTCGGTGGCCGTATGCCTACCTGGTTGATCTCTCCCTACGCTCCCCCGGGCCACGTTGAGAACTACGGTGTCAACCCCGTTACTGGCAAGTCTGAGTCTTACAGTGCTACCTCCGTTCTGAAGACTCTGGGCTACCTGTGGGATCTTGAGGATGCCACCCCTCGTGTCTCGCACTCGCCTGCCTTTGATCACCTTATTGGTCCTAGGGCTCGTGCTTCCGCCCCTATGACCCTGGCTGTTCCCCACGTCTTCCCTGATGCTGTTTGAGCGTTGGGAGGGTGAATTGTCTTTGGTTTCATTGATATAGAGTGGTTTTATGTCATGACTGAGGGTTTGAAGGTTGTTATACGAAAACGCTGTGATATGATAAGATATATAATGTCAAATTCGCACAATTGATGTAGAGAATTCTGCTTGAATCTTTTTTAAAATTCTATAACTTGTAGTAGTTAGAATACAGGCCTTGTCTTCCAAGGTATTTTTCTCCTTGAATACGACTCTCGAATCTCTCAGCGCAAATGTATGAAGACCACTCCGAACTTTCAATCAACCTTGATGTAGCTATAGGGCTACGCAGTTTCTTCTTTTGATGTTTGCCAAGATCATACACTTGAATTATTTGGCCCACGTTAATTTCCCATATGTTGTTGGTGCCCTTTGTAATAGACAATTGAAGCGGTATGCGTTTGCAAGAACATATTACCGACCGCCTCAGGTCTATCCCGGTCAGGTGACTACCTACGATGTATTATAGTCACAGTTTGCTCTACAAGATTTCCTTTCTCTTCAACATCACTTAACATTCATCATCATCATCATCATCATCTATCTTGCTCTAACATTTCATTGAACGTGTCGATATCCTGAGTCCATTAAGCCCTAATACTCCAAGGGCATCTGACACTATTCCAGCATGACTTTAACCAACACCAAGGAGGACCATAAAATTCCTTAGTCTGATTCAGGAAGAATTCAATCATCTCAGGTACATTATCTGAGATATGAATGACAGAGCGTGGAAGTATTTTAACGTCTAGCAGGCAAAAGGCGGCGGCAACATGTCGTCCAGCGGGTTTGCCTCGCGGGCCTAATCCGCTGGGGATCGCAACCAGGCCGCGCAATCATTCAGCCACGCTGGCTACTCTGGAGGCCATGGAGCTGCTGGGAGTAAGGCCAGCTCGGGATAGAGTCACTCCAATACTGGTTCAGGGGGAAAGAAGTAGGGGGATGTTGTTGATGGCCTGAGGCCAGCATGTTTGGCCGGATGATGGCATTGGACCGGAGGGTATTGGATGTAATCGCAGTTTATTCTTCCGGGGGGTTTTCTTCGCCAATCTTATTTTCCCCTAACGTACCTCATATCTTCTTTCTATATTCACGTTCAGTATTACACGCTCCTTGAAAATTGTCAACTTTAAAGCCTTTGATACAGTAACTTCAGGCTCTCTATCTATCTGGGTGGGGCTTTAGAGGGGTCACACGGGCTCCTAACAAAGTGGTGTTCTTCATCTGGTGTTCTTCATCTGAGTCTTACAGATCCTCAACAGGACTAGAGGGGTTATAACGAAGACAGACTATTCTCTGGTCAACAAATTCATCTGGCTTCCAGGATGGATGCCTTGCTAGCCTACCAGTCATAAGGGATCGTAGCCATATCAAGAAAGATATTTACTTCTAAGTGAAATGCTATTTATTAGAACAAAGAAAGTGAAATTCATGATATCTATTTCTCCGCGTTTTGTAGAAGGGCGCGGCTGTCCTCGGCCGTTCTTGACTGCGGGTCAACATTAGCAGCCCTATCGACATCTTCGCCGTCGTCATTACTACCCTCACTGACCACAGAATCAAGATCGAAATCATCACCCAGAACAAAATCATCGGCTCCCAACCGATTATAGTTATTGCCTCGGTGCCACACAATGACACCGACTGTTACGCCGGCCAAAAAGAGGACACCCAGCCCAGTACCCAGTAAAGCCCATGCAGTCTTCGACAAACGTTGAGATTCAACAGGATTCACGTACTCCCACGCCACGTCGCCCGTGGGTTGGAACATTGAATTGTTCACGCCATAAAGGTCAGAAGCAAAAGATATTTCCCTAGTGCCCAGATTGACGACTTCGGTCGATCGAATCACATTTCCGTTACGATCCATGGCGTCGGCCCATATATACTGGTAGTCAGGCCACCCAATCGTCAACTTCGTCTCAAACCCGGTCCGCCGGGATGTCGCCAGCACTTGGCTCTCGTCCAGCTTCTCGGTTTCCGCTCCCCGGACAACCCAACCCGCCACCTCAGTCGCACCATTCCAGCTGACATAGACCACCATTTCATCCTCAAAGCTCAGCTTTGGCGCAATAACGGGGTCCCACCATGGCGTCGCGGACCAATCCATCTTGTATGCGCGGTAGTTGTCAAGCGCGTCGGGGATTTCGACACTGTGCCACGGGGAAAATTGTACGTTCATGATGGTCTCGCCAGTCGAAGTATGTTCCGTGAATGACGGGCACCGGCCCCAGCCTATGAATACGTTGCCGATGTCTCCCGGGGCAGGCGAGAGGACTTGAATGCTTCCTTGGCTCTGGGCCTGAAGGTCTGCCGGATGGCGGAATTCGCGCAGGAGCTGGACCGTCGGCGGCGAGACAGTATCGTCAATGGCGATGTGAAGACCACGCGAGCAGTCCCAGCTGCATTCACCGTGTGAAGTGACCTTGGCGTGGTTATCAAAGAAGGTGATCTGCATCTCGTCGGTTCCGGGGACGAAACGGGCGTGATGTTGCCAGGCCATTGTCAGCAAAGGTTGGACGGGATCGACCCCTTCAGGAGGAGGCAGTTCGACAAAATCGTTCTTATTGCCGCCCAATGTCCATATGACATCGCCAGTTTTCCCATCGATGAGGAGAATGGAGTGGAGGTGGCGGATGGAGATTAGATAGTTGCCTGCTTTAGTCTAGATGCAAGGGTCAGAACGTGTCTCCTCTTTCTTGTGTGTAATACTCTCTTACCTTCTCGATGCTGTTCAAATGAAAGGCATCCCAACCAGCACCGCTCGGCTCGTGTGAGTCCATAGGATTGAGATGATCGATGGCTCGCCAGTGGAAAAGTACCTCGTTTGTCTCCAACTCAATCTCCTGGAAAGCGGCATCCAGAATCTCAAATTTGTTGGGCAAACCCCATGTTTCATTGAAATCAGACCCACGCGCAATCATGTCGTTGACACCCGTGACCAAGGCCGTTCCGTTTCCAGTAAATGCAAATTCATGAAGGTCACTGTGAACTTTCATATTCTGTGCCCAGACTTTGTATACCAAACGATAGGTGTCGTCATAGACAAGCCCATAGCCGTCTCCAATCCCGTTGGACTTGTACCCCTCCCAGAAGGTCAAATACTTCTTGCTGAAATTCTCCTGAATGCGGGTGCCAAATACATTCTCGAAGGATCGATTCATGAAGACCGCACTCAAGTCGTTGGCGTCGAGAATCAGTGGGGATGCGAGCGGCGAGGTTGAGTTACCGTCATGTCGGAGGAATACATGGGAGCCCGTGTCCGATATGGCCGATCGATTCCATATATTGACTTGCAGGAGAGGTGCGAATTCGCTGCTCGAGTGGAATTCTAGATGAGGACGGTGGCCTAGATCTCCATTATTGTATGGTTCGTATTCGGTCGACACGAAATCCCCATGAACTGCCCAGGCGAGCGCAGCAATGCAAGTGCAAATGATAGCAGGGCCAACCATTCTGCCCTTATCAGTCAGTGCAAGGGTCGCCGCAATATTTCACAGCTTGCCCCCAGATGTTGGTCGCGTTCAACGGCATTGTCAAGAAGAGAGTTGGAGATTCAGCCACCTCACGCGTGTTTTTACCTAGAGGATTGAAAAGCCCCCGTTCATCTTTGGCTCTAGAGGAGCACATAGCCAATTCGTAGCCAATTATTTTAGACGCCAAGAGGCTTGCGCATGCGTCGTCAGGGGCCGGCGTCATGTCCACGAGTTTCTCTTAGCGGAGCGGGAAATTGTGGGTTAGACCCACTGCGAAGAAAGGAATCCCGCTCGTAACGCGTGAAGGCTTCCTAATTTGGTACCTAGCTGCCCGAGCGACCATAGAAATTATTACGATATGGCTTACTACTATACGGGGCCTACGTCTCCCATAGTCGTTGGATATCTAATAATACAATCTGCTAAAAGCCGGGATCGGAAATGTAACCATTGAAGGCTGCTGATTGTGGGGATTTGGCTCGGCGGATCCACTCGTACTCGTTCCTAGGTTCCTTACCCATCTTGCGGAAATCCCCGACCAGAAGAGGAAAACTTGCACATGCATGGCATGAAAGAGAGATTATATATAAAGGTGGTGGCCTATGTAAGAAGCCAAGATGGAAGGAATTATGTTTACTCATGAAAAGTTTCAAACAGATGACAAGAAATTCCGAGAGATAACGAGACATTTGGGCGGACGCGTCAGTCCCAATATGGTTAGACTCTCGCACATCCACTGCTTGTACTGTATTCGTATGCTATACGTCTCAGCCACTTGATGAACTGTACGGAAAAAAGCTTGTCCCGAATCTAAATTGACAAGCGCCAATGCGGGTTGAGGGTATCTTTTCCATCTCTCTGAAGCAGTCAGGTGGCTTTCAAGGGATTTCTAATCGACACTAGGCCATCCTCTCGATTTGCTCGTGTCTTTGATACGTATCTTGCCCTGATTCTCCATCGACAGGCTCTGAGATTCGCCGGAGTCTGAATTCACGATCTCCAATGTTCCGGCCAACAGGATCCAAGCAACATAGAATAACAATCGTAGGTAGTATTATATCTAAGTTTGTTGCGATCAGATCCGCCTTTTAAAAATGAGAGTACCTTGACTGTCATTTATAGATCTCATAGTTTTGTGGTTGAAGACTTATTTAAGGAGGCCCTACCAAAGCAGGACTTTGCCATGTAGGCTTGGCAGATGGGCGGGGAGTCGAATCCCAGGTCTCCTATGCTGGGCTATAATCATGCCTGGGGTGGGAGGAAGATACCCCACTCAACCGCGCCTGAGAAGATCTCAGGGATTGTACCAGAAGCTATATTTTTGAATTAACGGATCGTTACATCCATTTACAAGCTAATTCAGGGGCGTGAAGGGGTGTTCCCCCTGTTATCGTTTTACCCGTTGGTTCCTGCTTGCCCGCGCATGAACATTGCAACAACTACAACTTCTGTCGCCTCGGTATTTTCTACAAGCAGTATGGACCCTCTCAGGATCAAGCCCATAATTTCTCAAAAGTAGGCCAGGTATCTTCATGTCCCAACTTCTCAAACGATACATTTGGTCTGAATGGCAGGCCCCTGAGGAACAGCAGCTTTCCGTACCGCTTCGTCACGAAGACCTTGAGAAATACCGTGGCCTCCTTAAACTTTGGGTGAATTTGCCCTGCTTGCCCTGCTTTTCTTATAGACAAAATGTTTGAAGTTCAGGATGTGTGTTTCGGCCAATGAGTGTACTGATTGGCAGAACACCACCGCCCTTGCGAAGCGTAAGACGCGGTCTGTGGCCTGACAAATCGGGCGACAGCCTGAAGTTCTCCACATCCAACCTTCATCATCTGTTCCCGTAGCAAGCATGCATAGAATGACGCCAGCGACCCCGACTAATCCTGCGGGCTCAGCCCGGACCGCACAAGATGCCTGGAGGGACCTTGCTGAGCAAGCTGCTACAGGACGGAGTTGCTCACGAACTCCAACTCACAGTCTTCTACATCCACCATGTCTTGACACCACTCCTAGCAACACGGCTGTCCAGCGTGGTCGACGTACGATCAACGTGGATACGTACAAAGATGAAATTATTGAACTCCTTGCGCGAAAGCTGAGTTTGCGACAGATCAGCCGCGCTCTGAAACAAAAGCATGATGTCAACATCTCGGGAATCACAATCCAGCGGCGTTTACAAATATGGGAAATTCCCTGGCGACAACGTGCACCACAAGGAGTTTCCGATAGGCCGGATCTGATTGCGCGTGTCAAAGTACTTCTCACTGAATTTGAAGGGAAATACTCTACAAAAGAGATCCTAGACACGCTGTCTAATGAAGGATTCCCTATATCCGATCGTACGCTGCGAAAAATTCGCACTGGTCTCGGCATTAGGCTTCGGGTTGATGACCCTGAGAAGTTAGGCTCGGAATTCACTACCCTGAAAACGAGACATACACCACCCCAGAAGATCATCCGTCCAATGAAAGAAGCGTATCTATCTCAAATTCGTGACATCAACACCCACTACATCCTGCACACATCGCTCACCTTTGCCCGCGCTCCTCCTCCATTCAATTCTTACGCCGCCAAGATTTGTGATTCTGCAAACCAAGGATTGCCTTATATGGTCACCATAGATATGACGCAGAAAACTCCCGATGGCAATGATTTTGTTCTCGGCTATGCCTACCTGTCTCCATTCCGGGGACACCTTGTGTCTTACGCGCCGACTGTCGAACTGACTCTTTTTGTGCATCCTGATTATCAATATCGCTCAATTGGGTCGAATTTACTCAAGTTCTTGCTAGATCGTGTTAAGAAAGGATCAGTGAATCACAAGTGTGAGGAAGAACCGCACCAGGGTATTGATGCCCCTGCACGGGTTCGAAACGTTATCGCTGTCATGGCAGTGGATCCGGAGGGCAAAGACGAAGGTGAAGCTCTGAGGCGTTGGTACATCAAACGTGGCTTTGAGGAATGTGGTCGATTGAAAGAGGTGGGTTACAAAAGAGGACACTGGTAAGTCGCTCAACAATTCCTACGGTCATGGCAAACCGTACTGACGATCAAAGGATTGACACTGTTTACCTACAATACTCTGTGCCTGAAGCAGACGCCTTACCTCAGGTTGAAACAGCCCCTTCAGAGACTGTCTAGAAGCACTCTTGATTGCTACATGATTTTATAAAAGAGATAGACAAAATCTTTGAGCTATTAATTCCCATACGAACCCTTCGAAGTAGAGACGAACAGTCAGAGACACCGGAAGAGCCCATTCAGAACCATGAGCCGAATCGAATCCCGGACACAATGGACGGGCCATATTTCCATGTCGCCCAGACGGCAGTTCCGAAGGTTGGAACGGCTACCAAACTGAACCTGATCATAGCCGCTGTGAGCTTTGGCTGCACGAAGCTCTGCACCATGGCTTGGAACTTTTCAGGCTCGTTTCGATCTGGGTACTCATCCTTTGGAATCGGCACACCCAGGAACGGACAGATCTTTTCCCAGTCGAGGCCATCTTTGAGCTGAATCAGACACATGCGATCGGCGGGAATGATATCTTTCACTTCTTTCATACTAGAAAACATTGTCAGCCTCATCTGTCAGGCCTATTTCAGTGGCTTACTCACTACTCGATATACCACCTCTGCAGCATTCTTTCATTGTCCGGATCGCCGGGCATTGTCCCGCCGGCAATTGCACGATAAATGACCTGATTGAGGGCAAAGAACTGGTACAGAAACGAGTCGAAGTACTTTAGGATCGAGACTGGGAAACGGTCGGCGAGGGCCACGACTTCGGCGGCTGTGTTGTTGACAGAAATTGCCCATCTTTCAGGTGACCTCTCAGTGAGGATGAATTTGACATTCGGATCTTGGACATATGCTCGGATCATATCCATTCCCGCATAAGCCGGGATCTCGATTAGACACTTCCGCAGTTGTCAGAATGTATCCTCCTTAATCACCAATGAGAATTGTAAGGAAATGGCAACTCACGTCATACTCTCCCAACCAGTTATCGAAATCGGCTTTCGAGTATCTCTTCCCTCCAGAAAGCCGATTGGTTTCAGCGATGATTCCTTCTTTGAATGTCCTCATGTGGGGAACGCCGCCAATGGCGCAACATTCGTACATGTGGTACGGCTTGTAGCCTAGAATCTGCATCGCCTTATACAGACCGAGGGTACCTGAGCTAAAAAAGATAATTTCAATGATTAGTTTGACTTTTTGACCTAGAAATGTTTTCCAGTCTTACCGACTAGGACTCGCAACGATCACTTTCATCTTCTTGACTTCTCCCAGTACGGGCATTTGATCGATACCCCGCGACATATTGGCGCGTTTTCTTACGACGAGGAAACAACAACGTAGTTTTCCCCCTTATCGTGCGGCAAAGGTTACGGAAAAGCTCCTCCCCTTAAATACTGGCAAAGTGGATCTAACGCTAGGTTACACGAGCGGCTGAAGCTAGCCACTCAGCCTCGACTCAGCCCTAGAGGTGCGAGCTGTACCATCGGCTTTCGGCTATTGGTTGAATGAACCACTAGATCACAAAAGTTAAACTTCGTGTTCTGGGCCTGAGCAGATCGTACATCGTGGCACCAATGCCTTAAAGCGGTCAATCTTTGAACGGCCCAAACGCATTTTAATTGGCTCGGGGTAGTATCGCTCCAAAATCGGACAATTAAGTGTCTTACATTAGGCTTTTTGGATCGCATCCTGAACTCTCGTTCCCACGCTCGACCTGAGACAACACAAGGCTGACAAGATTGGAATCTCATTCCTCCCGAGCGACGCCGTTCAGACGAAAAACATTCATATCCTCCACATCACGAATGCTTTGCATTTTCTAGTCGACTGAGAATGAATGCAGCGCCCTTCTTTGGTTGCTTTAAGTGAGCTGGTTTGATTTTGCTACCAGTGGAGACCTTCTGTGGGAACAGACAGAATGCGTCTTGGAAAGATTCAGCACAAAAGTAAACATCCCTAGACCGGAACGAGAGTCATTTTGAGGATAGCTCGATTTCAGATTTTCAAAGCCATCGGACTTTTGGCTTCCTGGAAGTAGTATTTCGAGTATGGCTTTGGTGTCCTTGTACACGGCAAAGAATGTACTTGCACGTCTCTTGGAAGAAGAAATCCTGGAAGCTGATGGGATTCCTAGCGCTGGCTTGATGGTGGTTTAATTTGATCGAAGATTGGAGGGAATGGCTCAATAGCGTAGTCTTGCAGCCCTTGTTCTGCTTCTTCGGCGGCATCACAATCCTCACCATTCCACACGAAATTTATAAGAATGATATCGGTTCGAAGAAGCTCCCAGGGTTGTTCCAAGCTTCTCGGAGACAAATGGGTGCGGAAGAATTTGCCTTTGCATATTACAGTAATCTCTGCTGTTTTCTCCTTTCGATTTAACAAAAATCTTTCAGCGACCGAGGAGAACCTTCAGCGAGAAAGTCTTTAGATAGGTCTCCCCGGTGATATTTCTGAATGTAAGCGAAGAGTCGGGAAGGCAACGAGGGGAATAATGAGTGTGTGCTTCGAAGTATAGTTAGGCACTATTGTCAACGCTAGGGCACGTCGGCATATCGCAGAATGACAAGGTGGCGGTGAGATTCGCGCCCGATCATTTATACACGACGTCACTATGTGGCCTCTCGCTGAAAATAGCTGAGGAAGTCCCTCTTAGGTCTCTCCTTTTCGCTACAACAGGAAAGGAGAGAATTCTCAACACGCCCTCCATGAGCGCGACGAATACCTGGGCACCGAATGTGGGTGGGGCGCCCCATTGTACCAGTCACACTTTCTACTCTCCACTCTCCTCAATGAGAAAGACACACAATTCTAACTCTGATCAACAATTTAAAGGATTTTGAAGAACTTGAAGTAAGCAGTTGCAAGATCAAGAGGCTGTCCATATATCCCAAGATCCTCAAGGTGCTGTTGCTTTTCAGGTGGTATAGATGTGAGGTTCATCATGCAGGACAAGCACATGTGAGGCAGAGTGTACGTTTCTTGCAGGCTTGGAACTCTCTCTATTCTGGACCAGTTCAGACTGGAAAAGGCCAGCAGAAGTCTCACAGGGAAACGGAGCAGGAAGAAAGACCGGTCCTCGCACTGGCCTCTGGGGGAAAGTCGGAAGTGGAGCTTCCCCGCGCATTCCTGCGTAGATTTTCCGGGGGCCGAGGCTGAGGACTCAATCACAAGTACTGATGATGCCCGAGCTGGGCATGCCCCAACGCTCTCAACGCTCTATAGACTTTTTTCTCCCAAGATATCTACAATGATTCGTTCGAGAGACATATGGAGATCTCGCGGTGCCTCCCTGCTTGTTGTCGTGGAGTGACGATCATGACTTCACATGCTCTGACCGCGGCCGGCGGCTCTATACTCGCACGGCCTTAAAAGTATATAAAGATTGCGATCCTAAGTATCCATAAGGATCTAGTGCGAATACGATTTGGAGCTTTTGACACTGAACGATGTCGACCCAGACGACGACCGCTAAGCGGAACCCCGCGGACTCTATGGTGTCTACCTGGCGCCATGACCGATCTCAGTGGCAGGTATGGCACTGGATGGTTGAACTTCTTGGTTTGCACCTCGTGGATCTTGAAGGGGAAGTGCCAGTCTTCTCCAAGAAAGAGAAAATTCACGCCGTCCAGGAATGGACACTCCATCTGTGGATCCTCTTACACGCGGCGATCCCACTCGTGCTTCACCACGCATATACAACCTATACCGGTAACAACCTCAGCCTGCTCGCCGCCTTCGCATTATATTCGAGCGCATTCAAACTGAACGGGATCCACGAAATGCACATTATGCGCCGCCTAGGTCAACGCTATGGCTTTTTGGATGGGGACAAGCATCCACGCGACGATATTCCCGATGTTGGTGTTGGCAAGGTGATCCGAGAACTCATGTCCACTTCGACATTCCGCATGATAATGGCCATCTATCTTACCTACCAGCCAAGTGAGACTCCGGCAACAATGGAATGGAAATGGCTACCTTTGGAGATAGGCCTCTACAGCATCACGGTAGACTTTTGGTTCTACTGGTATCACCGTTTGATGCACTCGGTGGGACCATTGTGGAAGTTCCACCGTAGGCACCACCTGACAAAGCATCCCAATCCCTTGCTCTCTGCCTACGCGGATCACGAGCAAGAATTTATGGATATCACTGGCATCCCGCTTCTTGCATACACCACTTTAAAGATTCTTGGTCTACCTATGGGATTTTATGAGTGGTGGATCTGCTTCCAATATATTGCGTTCTCGGAATTTATCGGACACAGCGGTCTCCGAATCCATGGCGGTGCGCCCTCTACTTTCAACTGGTTGCTGGAACTCTTCGATGCGGAGTTGGTGATTGAGGACCACGACCTTCATCACCGGTATGGATGGAGAAAAAGCCACAACTATGGCAAGCAGACTCGGCTTTGGGATAGGATATTTGGGACTTGTCATGATCGCATTGAGAGCGTCAAAGACAACGTCGATTACACCAATCGTGTTACTATGCCTCTAATTTGAGGCTTGAAGATGCAGTATAACGTTACCCCCAAGATAGGGAAAAATACAAACCAACGATATGATACAGCATATCAGTCAATTTGGCTTAGTTTTCGCACTTGGGCAATTAACGGTCCTCCTCGTACTTTTTATTATATAAATGGTGCAGGAAGACAACCCGGGTTAGCTGCTGACAAGACAAGTTTCACTTAAAGAAGACTTTATGCAGCGATAGCAGGCGGGGCATAAATGACAGACGGTGGGGGCTCGGAAGTCCGGAATGTTCGATCAAGAATTTCTGAAACTACTACACTTCAAAGCCCCATTCTCATTGTCAAACGGTCTTGGTTAGACTCTTTCTTTGACCGAACTCCCAAGGAGAAAACGAGTAGATATACAGTCAAATCTCGTGAGCATTACACACGCCCGTTTACAAAGGCTCTCATGGCATCTATACTGGTGGCGATAGATATTCAATCCTTCTGCGACGCTTGATCTCGGCTGCGGCATACAGTCATAGGAGAATTAATCAGTACATATATCAGCAAGGCTTTTGACTTAGCGCTATGTATCTAGAGAAACTAGCGAACCCTAAACGAGCCTCAAGAACTTGAAACTTGAAGACAATTACGGCTGTTGCATTCTTTTGCTGCTTACTTGACACTGTAAGCCTCAGAGTGAGAGGGTAAATGTAATTTGTGATTGGTCAACTGGACTCCTTTCTCCATCTTGGAGTTGTTGGTATCCACACCGCTTCGGGTGTTGAAGCGGTGTGGGTACGCGACACGGGACTATTACGGTATATATTTCAGAGCTCGGCATGTCCTGCGGTATGCCGCGTTCGCCGGAGCACTGAGACATATGACCTACGAGGTGGAACTCACAGAGCTGAGTAAGCTGGATAAGGTGACTGTTTTTGTGTATAATTCGGACGTAAGCGTCCGTGCGGGCCATACAACTAGTCTCTACGAACTAGCAGGATCGCTAGACTCGATTTAGCATATAGATATAACTCTCTTCAAATTAGATTATATCGTACTAGTCTATGCGCTTTCGCTTCACCCCGACACAAGCTTTCTAGAATAAGAGAATTCAACAGAGTAATGACACATATTTTCCTTGATTCTACGTATTTCGAAAGGCGATTGCATACACGCTTCAGGCACAATGCTGTCTGATGGACATGCTCTAGACGTAGAACGCAAAAGCTGCACCGAGTAGAGCCATGGCTCCCTTGGGGACGCTCAACTGAGACGACGCAGCAGCAGTCGAGGGCAGAGCGGAGGCGGAGGCACTGGTGGATGAACTGTCGGAAGAGTTGGAAGACGTGCTCTTGGAAGAAGAGGTGGTGGAGCCTGTGATGAAAAAAGGTGTATTAGTATAATCGCCTTGTAACATCGTGCGGAGTTGCATCATGCCTGAGGAAGACAAAGGACTAGTCGACGTGGGTGTCGAAGATGCCGAGGATGTAAGGGTGGAAGTGACCGATGTAGAACTGGTCGCACTGGATGTTGCGGAAGAAGAAGTGGAGGAGGAGGAGGTGGTGGTGGTGGAAGAAGACGTGGAAGAAGAGGAAGTGGAAGAAGAGGAGGATGTGGTACCATCATCCGAAGCGCCCTTCTTGACAGTGAAAACGTCACTGACGGCAAGCTGGCCAGCAGAGTCAATTATCTGGATCTCGTAGTCATCTCTAAGCCATGACAGAATGGTATTAGTGTTGTTCTTTTCGGTTCATCCCACTCTATCTTCTACATACCCGTTGGAAATGCTAGGGTTAGGCTGGGTCGTGTATTCGCCATCAGAGGTCTTGACGTTATCCGCCAATTTGGTCTGGAAGGAGCCATCCTGACTTCGAAGGATGATGCTGATTACTGACGGATCACTAGAACTGCTGGTGAATTTGATAGTTTCGGCAGTGGAGAAATCCCACACCGTGTCTGATGACGGAGTGGTGACGGTGATTGCAAAAGCCGATGAGAGGAGGCTCAGGGCGGTGATGGTGAATGAGTAACGCATTTTGATTGAATGGAATTATGGAATTATCAGGGAGTGCGCTGGGGCGAATATCTCACTATTTCCCAGGAAAAGACTATATATATTTGGTCGATAGACTGGGCGAAAGATCTATAACAGAAATCAGTAACTTTCAGCTGAAGCCGAGCGCATTGAGAATACGAGATCGTCTAAGCCTTGCCCAGAAGTAGAATGTGACCCTAGCATGAGCTGAGCCTCTTGTAGAGAGACTAAAACAATGCAGGGGTCATTCTGGTGTCCACGTAGGGTAACAACGAACGGGCACTGCTAAGATCAGCTCTGCATCAGCGACCCGCCCTGTTGTGTTGGGGTCAATCAAAGTGAGCATTGCACCATATCTTTCCAATCAAGTTTCCAAAACGCATTGAGACCTGTGATCCTTGCTAATAAAGAACCTAATGGCTATAATCATGCCAGCACTAGGTTAGCGGTGAGAAGTGTAGTAAATACGAAGTATGCCGACAGGGCTCGGAAATCGAGGTTATCATAATTAGAAATCCATTGTCGTTATATTGTATTGTTACTTACAGCCGTGAATGAATACTGGTCATGACTGGTAACATTCACCACATGAGCTAGGTCTGCATGCCGTCTTACTGTATTATGTCCAATAGTCGAAAGCGACTATCGGAATTCTGCTGCAAGTACGGAGTTTCTAGTGACTCAACATATCTCCTATTTTCCGTTGTAATTCACGAGATGTAATATGAAAGCAATAAACCTAAATATATGGAGTATCTCATCTATAGTAAAACCATTGCAGAAACCATCGAAAACAACGTCAAGGAACAAAATCGAAAAACAATGCGGAGTACGGGAAACATGATCAAAACAGAGGGAATGGCGGTCTAGAGAATTAGATGGAAATGTAGGACATGATCAGTGCGGCCGTGACTATCAATGTCCTCAAATCCCACGACAATACGAATAAAGAAATCCCAGCGCCGTTGGAAGTGCTTGGACTTGCTGACGAGGTTGTCGATGTTTGGGTGTGATCTCCACAAATGTTAGTGCTTCGGTTCAGGCTTTCAGTAGGATAGTACACCCGAGGCCCTCCATCCGAGCTGAGGTCCACATGGATATTTCCGCTTGAATCAGTCACAAATGTTTTGCAAGAAAAGAGCTCGGTCACATTTTGTCCAAGTGAAAATCCTGTGCCGTCGGGGCCAAGCGTGATTTTGGTGGTGGCTTTGCTGGCTGGTTTGGCTCCCAGGTTGGACACCACGCTCACAACCTGGTTACCGGGAAATCCCTTGCGCATGGCCAAGATGTTTGTTGAGTTGTAGATTGGCAATGAGAGGTACGATAGATAGTCGCTCCCTGACTTCGAGGCGACCGTGGATTTTTCTCCGTCGCCACTCGCATATGATCGAATGCGATTCAACGACTGGACCAGCAAGGGTAGGGAATTCGATTTCATCGAGTATTTGGTAAGCCATAGGGCCTCCCGGTTGACAGGGTTGAACCCCCCTGACAGGTGCTGTTCTTCCCCGTAGTAGACTGTATTGTTTTTATTAGTGTCTTTGGCTTTCATTTCCATTTGTGAGGGCGCAACATACGGATGGGGATACCGTCAGCGAGCATGCTGATTGTGAGAATGTTGCGAGCCAGCTAATCAGGAGTGACAAAGTCAATACGTGCTCCCAAAAAACTCGATGCACTCAGCTTACCGATATGTCGGAAGTATACGAGCCAAAGCGAGGGACATCCTGATTCGATGTGAAAGTTCCCAAGGCGAGTACGTCCTCGCAATGTGTCCTGATGTAGTCGATAGACTGTATGATCTTGTTCAGGTCTCCATTGGTCGTGTTGAAGGCCTCTGAGAGGATATAATACCTAGAAAATGTCAACAAGCCCTCTGTTCATTTTGATGAGCTACTCACAACGGATAATTTAAAAGTCCACTTATACTAGGCTGCAGAGAGCAGTAACCGGATGCGTCTCTTGTGGCTCCTTCGCCCATAGTGAAAATGCCCGCTGACTTGCTGAAACTGGAGAAGAAGACGGGGGGAATGTTCAAGACACTGTCGATCCGCAAGCCGTCAACTACAAAAGATAATTGTCATTAAACCCGCTGGAGAGAGAGGACACGTATGGACATACTGGAGTAGTTCGAAACCAACTCCGAAACCCAGGTGCCCAGAATCTGCTGGACTTCCTGATCCTCGTTTCGCAGATCTGGAAGCGATATGGTGTTGTCTCCCATCCAGCACTGGTGAAGGCTTAGCAATGCTCTCATAACACGCGATGACAGACTTACATCCAGAACACAGGTGTCATTTGTGGGGTCCTCAGAAAGTAGCTTGTAGTCGTGAAAATACTTCTGATCATTGAATGGATTGAATGTGCTGTAGTCGATAGTGGAGGCATTTCCAGCCCAAGCCATGTCACCAACGACAATGTCCAGCATCAAGTACTATTTTTGCATGTCAGTTTCGTGAGTAGACATGGCAGCCGGCGACTCACCATGCCACGCGCGTGCAACGCTGCGGACAACGCTTGAAGGTCATCGGAAGTACCAAAATGGGAGTTGACGGAATACAGGTCGTTTGGCCAATACCCATGGTATGCTATCATCCATCCATCGTTAGTTCTCTAGATCCGTTGACAGTCAAGATGGCCATACCTGAGAGATCTGCCGTGCGAGTTGACTCCTGGCTTTGCACGGGCGAGATCCAAACCGCATCGAACCCGAGGTCCTGAATATAATCCAGCTTATTTATGATGCCTTGTAAACTCCCACCACAATACTCTCCCAGTCCTGCCTCACAAAAAGCGGTGGTTGAGTTATCGGATCGAGCGAAGCGATCGGTGACCACTTGGTAGACGGACCGACCGCGCCATTGGTCTCGGGAAGCCGCTTGTACTGTCACAGTGGCAGCAAGCACCAAAACCATCCACCACCACATTGTCGGTGGCGTTTGCATGACAGGTCGAAGGAGGATCAAATGACGGATGGAGCCAGAGACAATGAAAAGACTACTTGACTTGATTGACAATGTCATATATGCCGGATGGGAATGATTGACGGTGAGGTACAGATGTGTATCGTACCGTATGTGTAATACCTCTATTCATAATAATGATCTGTCATGTATTCTGTCGGCCCGATCGGCAGCCCGCCTCGAACCACGCATGCCAATCGAGGGCCCTGATGGCTTCCAATGGCAGCCGGGCGGACCCTGGTTGGTTCGCGAGGGACTCGTCTGGGGGCTCCGCGAGCCTAGTTGCCGAACATTATCCATGTTACGTTGGTATGCTGGCCTCGGAGTGGAAGAGCCGCCCGGTTGGTAGCAATCTGGCCCGATTTCTTGTGACAGTTGCAGCAATCCTTGCGTGATAATTGATTGCTCCCTGACCAGAGTCCTTGACCGGGTCCACATGTGGATCCAAATATGACAGCTGGGATTTGTTCCATGTGGGCCTGGAAGCATCCGCCGGGGTCAGATAAGGAGATGGTCGGCCTCCCCGCGAACTATTTGATCCTTGGGCCCGCAGTGGAGTTGACAGCAAACTATTGACAGCTTCAGCCAAGCCAAGTCAAGCAAAAAGTGCATCAATTGCCGACCATCAACTATGCCTTGCCGCAGCCTTAGCAGCAGGCACGGAGTGGCCGTGAACAAAAGCAAAAAGCAATACGAGGCAGGGACGACCCGCAACAACGAGCCTCACTCTTATCATCATATCCACCTCTCACCCTTTCCCATAGGTCTGTCCCCGTATCAGGTATGACGTGTTCTATCTTCTATGAGGCGGGATACCCGATCTGGCATAATTTACACATTATACTCGATTTCCTTCCGGCATGGCTTGTCTCGGAACACATGTGTATCCGAAGGTCCTATGCCGATGCATGTCAGAATGGCTCCATTTGTATGAGACATGATGCGGCTTGGGCCTGGAACCTGGTCTAGGTGCCCGAACAATGCGCGCATCAAATACGGTGTATGTCAGCTTGAGATCCATCATCCAAAATTAGAACCGCTCAACCGCTTTGCGTGAGTGTGGAGAGGCTTTGCTGTGGATTGAGGCTGTACGGCTGTACGGCAAGGCTGGCTCAGGTCTCCAGCGGTTCGCCTAATTCCTGCATCTATGCTGATTTACCAAACAGTGATTGGTGTTCTCGCCCTCAGAATCAATTATTGCATTGGCCTGGACAGCTCCAGAGTATTCATTATCTTTCACATGCTTCTCTTGCGCAGCTGCGTTCTAGCAATCGTTTAGTGTCTCTGTTTCTATGAGTTTTATTTTTCTTCCTGGTATGCACTCTGTGGTTGTCCCTTTGCAGTCGAGGCTCGAACAGCGTGTTCTGTGAATGTCACAATAGTGGCATTTACTGTGCGGAATGGAGCTGCTCATTTCCATCCCTCATTACCTTGCCATTGTTGCACTATCTATACGCATTGTACAATCCCTGCCATATCTTCCAGAAGAAGCAGACTGGAATCTCAACCAAAATCAGACAGCAACACACCCCCTCGACTACTCGGGTCAGTGGGATGGCCACACATACAACCCCTCGCCAGAAAACTGGCGATTCCCCTTTTACACGATATTCCTCGACAGATTTGTCAATGGTGATCCGAGTAACGACAATGCAAATGGCACACAGTGGGAACATATCTTGACCTCCAACGAGTTCCGCCATGGCGGCGACGTTCTTGGGCTGGTTGATACGTTTGATTATCTTCAGGGGATGGGGATCAAGGTGCGTCTGTTGCTTCAGGAAGATTTGGATGTGAAGAATTTATTGACCATATCCAGTGCGTTTACCTCGCAGGAACACCATATATCAACTTCCCCTGGGCTGCGGATGGATACTCCCCGCTTGACCTGACTCTGCTGGATCATCACTTCGGAACGATCGAGGACTGGCGCACAATGATATCTGAGGCGCATCGACGGGGGATGTATGTTCTTTTTGATAATACCTTTGCAACGTATGTGAGATCCATCTACGCAACCTCTGATGTCGTCTGCTG